GAATAAAATCATGGCATTTGCAGGTAAATAGATGGAGCTGGAGAATACAATGCTAAGTGAAAAAGCCGATCCCAAAAACCAAAGGCTGAATGTTTTCTTTGATATGAGGATGCTGACTCATAATGCGGAAGGGGGGGGGAGCATGGGAGGAATGGAGGAAGGGTAAAGGGAAGGGAGGGGAAGGGAGGGGGTAGGAATGATGGTGGAATGAGTTAGACATCATTACCCTAAGTACACGTATAATGACACAAATGGTGTCAAAATACTTTGTGTACAATCAGTGACTTGAAAAATTGTGCTCTATATGTGTAATATGAAGTGAATTGCATTCTGCCATCATGTATAATATAACAAATTAGAATAAATAATTTAATTTTTGAAAAACTACACTGAGATTTCATCTCAGTCCAATCAGAATGGCAATTATAAGAATACAAGTAACAACAAATGTTGGTGAGGGTGTGGGGGAAAGGGGATGCTCATACACTGTTGGTGGGACTGCAAACTGGTACAACCCTTCTGGAGTGCAGTATGGATATTCCTCAAAAAAACAACAAAAAACAACTAGGAATGGAAACATCATTTGACCTAGTTATCCCACTCCTTGGTACATATCCAAAGCATTTAAAATCAGCATACTATCATGACACAGCCACGTCAATGTTTATAGCAGCTCAATTCATAATGAGTAGATAAAGAAATCATGGTATATACACACACTGGAATATTACTCAGCTATAAAGAAGAATGAATTTATGACATTTGCCAGAAAATGGATGGATCTGGAGACTATCATGCTAAGTGAAATAAGCCAGTCCCCAAAACCAAAGGTTGAATGTTTTCACTGATATGTGGAAGTTAAACCACAATAAAGGGGAAAGGGAAGAAAAGAAGTTGTGGAGATAAGACAAAGGGGAACAAAAGGAAGGGAGGGGGATAGGAATAGGAAAGATAGTAGAATAATTCGAACACAATTTTCCTATGAACACATATAAAAATACCTAAGTGAATCCCACCATCATGCCCACCCACAAGAATGGAGTCCTAATTAGAATAATATATATGTCATGGCTCTATAATTTTATCAAAATGAATTCTACTGTCACGTATAACTAAGAAGAACCAAAAATAAAAGTAGAAGAGATAACTGAGATTGTATGTTAAAAGCTTGACATGAAGTTGATTCTTGCTGATATGTATTTATGATGATAGAATTATAATACTTTAAGAGTGTTGTGTGTGTGTGTGTGTGTGTGTGTCTGTGCCTTGCACCACCACCCCACTCTGTATTCTAGAAATTGAAGAAGAGTCTATTGGACTTTATCTGTCATGTGCTCTTGTCTTTTCTCCTTTCTTCAATTTTATTCCTATTCTGAAAGATCTGAGCACGTATAGGATGGAGGAGAATATGGGGAGAGAGGGGGAAAAAGGATTCATCTGCAAAGTTCACCTGATCTCATATGTTCCTTATCCTGAAACATAAAGCAACAGAACAAGACTCAGATATGGGAGGGATTTTAGAGTTAACAGATCAAAAATAATCATAATGAATACTCTAGGGCCAGAAAAAATGGGTACTATAAACAGAGAGATGGTATGTCTAAAGCAGAATTGACGGAAGTTCTAGAATGCTTTTCAGTGTTTGTCGATTGACTGGACACAGCTGAGTAGATGATCAGTGAGCTTAAGGACCTGTCAGTAGCAACTTCTCAAACTGAAAAGCCAAGAGCAAAAATGAATGAAATTTTAAAAAATGGAAAACTGTCCCCTAAAACTGTGGGACAACTGCCAAAGCTGTAGCACACATTTTTGTCATTTTTCCATCACTGTGACCAAAATACCTGACAAGAACAACTTAGAGGAGGAAAAGTTTTGGGGGCTCATGGTTTCAGAGGTTCAGTCCATGGTCAGCTGACTCTGTGTCTCTGGGCCTGAGGTGCAGTAGAACATCATGGTGGCAGGGGATGGTGCAAGTCAGAGGCTCAACTCATGAAGGCCAGGAAGCAGCCAAACAGAGCAAGGAAAGAGACAGGGAAAAATACAAGCCCTAAGGGAATGTCCCCAATGACATACTTCTTCCAGCCACACCCACCAGCCTACAGTTACCACTCAGTAATTGATTCAAATTATTGATGTAGCAAATGGATTAATCCACTGATTAGATCACAGTTCCTCTAATCCTTTCACTCTGAACATCCTGTATTGCAGCGTGACCATTTGGGGGACATGACATATCCAAGCCATAGCACACATATAATGGAAATACTATGAAAGACTCTAAGATAGAAAGGAATGCAAGACATATTTGAAGTTTAAATAACGATGGCGATCTTTCCAAAGTCTGTAATAGATACCAAACCACAGATGTAGGAAACTTAAAGACTTCTATGCATAATAAATATCAAAATATTCACACCTAGGCTTATCAGGTTCAAACTGCAGAAAACCAAAGACCAAGAGAAAATCTTAAAAACAAACAAACCAGCCACCGGGGGGGGGGAAAGCTGAGCTTATTTATAGAGGAAAAGGAAGAAAGTTACATTGGGCTTTTCTTCATAAATTATCCAGCAAGAAGAAAGTTGACTTAAATATTCAAAATGTGGAAGGATAAAGGCTCAGCACTGTCCACTCTTCTCTTGTTACAGGAGACACTGCTGAGCCTTGGGATTCTTCTGCATGTGCTGCTGTACTACAGACAGTTCAACTCAAACTCTCCCAGGGTAACAGTGTCAGCATGTTCCATGGAGCCCAGTGTATCTCTAGGGTTGGGCTTTGTGGACTGATCTCCTTGTGTTGGAAAAAACAGTCATGATATGTAACAGTCATGGGATGCCCATGGCAGGTGGTATTGATGGGAAGGGAGGTGGTTCTCAACTGAGCTGGTTCATGTTGACAGTGAGAACATCACATAGGGAGAGTCCACCAGGTGTGGAATCACTGGAGATCAGACTGGTTGGTCATTAGAACTTACCTCTTTCAATTTGTCACTTAGAGGATGAAGAAAACCCCACGAAGTCCCACTCTAATCATATTGAGTTTAGAGGCTGAGCTGAAGTTAAAACTTGGGTCCTCTCATTCTCAGTAATGTACCTGATTGTCTTCAGGCTCCTTGTTCCCCAGACAGTGTTCATGGCAAAGAGTTCTTACTAAAGTGATGAGGGTTCCGGCTTCTGTTTGTCCTGATATCCCGCGTTGCCATTGACCATTGTGCTCCTTCTTAGAGCTTAATCTTACTACCCTTTTCTTAGGAACCAGAGCGAGAACTATGATATTGTTTTATTTTGTTCTTTTCATACTAAAAGTGTTATCTTTTTCAGAGAACAACAGCTAGATGGTCAAACTCATGCTTAAGCCATGTGCATACTTGATCAGAGATGTCATAGGCTACTATGGCAGCAATAGCTTATAAACCCTCTTATATTAAATATGAACATTTTCCTAATACTGATTTTAAGTCACATCCCATTAATCTTCCTCATTAGCATGGGTTTGTTTTAAATATTCTAAACACCTGAAATAAACTATAAAATTTTTACGAGTAGAGACACTCTGGTTAATGATCAAACTGGTGTGGCCAGAGGAAAAGCAAGTGTTAATGAATATGAATGCAATCCTTACTAACACAAAATTGAACTATTTTCTCAATTAAAAAGCTAGTCATTGTATAAAGACTCATTTTTTTTTCCACACCACAATGAAAGGAACTTGAGTAATTCACCAATTTTGTTTTCTACTATTAGCCTTAAAAGATACCCTACTAAAAACTGATATCAGACACAACAGAATGACATTTGCACAGAATGTAATATTGTAGACACAGTACTGAGGTTGATTGTAACAGATTATGAAACTCTGTGTATCAAATGGTTGTATCTTAGTTATTTAGACAGAACATTGGTCCAATAGCATAAAAATAGAGAACACCATTTGGAAATGTCTCTCATTCGATGTTCAGAGATAAAAGGGTTAACCATTCTTGCCATTATTTTCTGCAGATAAGTCCTTGTTCATACTGAATCACCAGTTCTGGCATACTTCCAAAGTATTCCCAATAGTCCAGTTTTATTTCTGTCCAGGAGGCTGGATGCCAAGGACCATCAAGCACAAGTGCACATAAGCAGCAAGATTACAGTCAACACACTCTGAAAATTGAAAATGGCAGACATAGTGAGGCCATCGGTGCCCCAGCCACGTCACCCTTCCAGGCCCAGGGCGGAAGAGCAAGACCAGGTTCTTTCTTTTACTCCAGTTTCTTCTTTGACTTTGAAAGGTGTTGTATTAATTATTGCTATGCCACCAACTTGTTCTAATTAGGGGGTGGGCACTGGAAATCGAACCCAGGGCACTCTACCACTGAGCTACATCCCACACTTTTTTTTTTTCCTTTTGGAGACAGTATTGCTAAATAGCTGAGGCTGTCCTCAAACTTGTTATCTTCCTGCCTCCACCTCTCAAGTAGCTGAATGTACCACCAAGTTCAGGGAAACTCTATCACAGAACTTTTTTTTTCTTTTCTTTTTTACTCTTTATTTCAAGACAGGCTTTGGCTAAATTGCCCAGGCTGACCTTTAACTTTCCATCCTCTTGCCTCTGCCTCCTACATAGCTGGGGTTAAAGGTATGCGTCATAGTGCCCTGATACCTTGTTGCCATTGTGTGGACTTTCACAATGAATCTCCAACAGTGTAACATGCAAATAACATGTTTAAATTGTATAGTTTTCTATGAAAATAACATGGAGCCGTATGAAATTGTGAAAATGGGCCTTCAGAAGGCTTCTAAATGCCATTAGATTCGTTTGTGTGCATTAAGACCTTTCAACAGAGTTGGGCACACAACACATCCTCACGCTGACCCCCACAAATAGTCACCACTATTATTTTCATATGAAAGACTGTAAGCCATGATCACTGCTTTTCAGCAAATTGCACAATAGATAGACACTCCCATATTAGGGACAATAAAAAAGGAACTAGTTGTCATTCTCAGAAATTCTCAGCACAGCCTTTCGGATTCAGAAAAAACACCAGAAAAAAAAAAGTGCAGATTTAATCTGAGTCAGGTGTGAAGTGGGAGGAGGTGATTCTAGCTTCACAGAGAATCGAGGCACTTCTCTGGAGCCTGGACCCCATCAGACACAGCACATGCTGCAGGCTGGAAGAAGGTAGGTCCAGGGACATCCTTCCTGGGCTTTTGGACTGATGGATTTTCAGTTACTGGTTCTTAGACTCCTAGGAATAGGAGAAAGAATGAGACAGCTCACATAGCACATACCGGTACTGTGGATCGGGGAGCGTTGAGTCCACCCTGAAGTGTACATCTGGTGCATTTGAGGAGTAGGTTTGCAGCACAAGATGAAGATGGTCAACCACCTCCTAAAGTCCAAAGCTGGGTGTGTGTCGGTAGTTTTAGTTATTTTTGTTCTCTAACTTTCTGGGCTTTCAAAAAACTGTAAGCACATATTTTCAATGTTTGATTAATCAATTTATGTACCTTTAAAACACTCCTTCTTCTGTAGTTTTCATTCTCTGTCTCCAAACTTGTCATTTTTATAATGTGACATTTAAAGAAAAGATCTGCCACATGCAGAATCTGGTGGAGAGAGGGCTTGGGGTTAAGGCAGGGTCCTCAGCCAAATGCACTTACAATGGTCCTGCCGTAGTCTGTGGCCTGGCTTAGTTCTCCAGTGGTCTTTGTCACCATGCATGGCACACCCAAGCCACAAACTGAAGTTGCTCATGAAGAACTATGTGGATGCAAAATTCTTAGAAGATTCTTAGCTTTGTGGAAATCACAAAGAAGATTGGGGGAAACTACCCAACGCACTCTCTTTTTAGAGAGATTAAAGAAACCTAGAGAGGGGAAATGACCTGCCCAGAATCAGACTCGTTAATGAAAGGGCTAGGACTATACTGGATTCTAGTCCAGTCTGTCTCCCTGCCCAGGTTACCATTTCTGTATCACCACCATTTTCTTCTTCAAAAAAAAAAACAAAAACATCCAGATGCAGGCCTCTTTTGGGGTCTATATTTTATAAGTTTGTCAAAGGTGAGTCTAGACCTTTAGACCACTCTTTTCATGCCTCCTTGGAGATGGTGACCCATGAGGGGTGTTAATATAAAAATAAGGACACAAATGATTGGTGGTCATGCATTTCCACAAGGATTTGATAGCCAATAGGAGATGGAAGAATTGCCCATGTATCTCTATCTCTGTACCAGGAGCCCAAGTAAGTACACTGTAACCGCCAATGGTCTCCCAGAGGTCACAGGCAATGCGGCAAAGTAAGTGTCAGATCTTCCCCAAAACCTGGAAGAAATGTTGTTCATACTATCCAAGAGTCTGCATTTTGGGTTTCCTTGATATTTGAAAATGAAGACATTGATCATTGGAGTGTAGACATACATTTTTGTCCTTGGGGAGCTGACTTGTCCTGGGTCAGGACATGTGGATTTCTGTGATATGAAGGTAGGAGCTCCTCCCGTGGCCAGAGTCTCTTAGAAAGACATAGAGAGTATCAGCCTCCAGTGTCCAGAGCCTGACCTGTCTTGGCAGAGAATCAAAGTCACTTGAAAGCAGGTTTTGATATAATGTCTTTGTCCTGGGGAAGCCTGCCATCTTACTAGAGAGGCTTCAAATACAGAAGAGCCACCAGAGGTGTTTATAAATTTCCTAAATCCTCTATCTGAAGGTAGACCCCACAGGCAGAGACCCCACTGCATAAAAGAGAATAAAATAAAGTACACATTCACTTAGACTGAAAAGAATCCTCTTTAGTTACTTCATAGCCCTTTTGCTTCTGTGGTGTAACAGGGAGGTAAGTTGAGTGATTCATGTGCCTGAATGGAGGCAGACTGCGTGATACTGTCAGTGTACTTACGAGAAGGGTCAATGTTGGGGTGGGATGTTCTGCTTATTGCTATGAAGCAGACAGAGATGCAATTCATAGGGAAATTCCTATGAATGGGACCGACATGCCGAAATGCCCCAATATAAGAATGAAATTGTTGTTTTGGAAAAAACTAAAATAAGGCCAATGCATTAGAGATATCAAAAATAAAAAGGAGAGATAGCAGAGGGACAGGTGACTGTAATGTCAGATACTTAGATAGGCTGAGGCAGCAGGATCCAAAGTTCAAGGCCAGTCACAGCAACTTACTGAAACCATGCCTCAAGATAAAATTTTAAAAGCCAGTGTGTTGGGGCAGGGGGGTGTTAGGAAAAAGAAGGAATGGGATAGCTCAGTGGTAGAACAGTACTGGTTTCATTTCCCAGGACCACAGAATAAATAAGTACATGAGAAAAGAAGTTCAAAATAAGGTCAGAGTAACAAAGGTGGACAGAATCAGCTGAATTTCTCTTATCAACAACTTTAAAAATGCTTAACTATTTATTAATAGTGTAATACAAAGGAAGTGTTTTAAAGAAGAGGGTGACCAATAGGACCTTACCCTCCTCCCCATGATGTATACTTTTATATCACAATTGACTTTTTTCTACATTGGGTGTTCCCTTACAACTTGCGTCACCTTAGTTATTTTTGACCATTTTAATTTTTACCCAGCATATCGGTGATATGAATGATGTATACACCACCATGATAGTTTATTATGAATGTGAATATATGTCTACCTCTGCCAGTGATTTTTTATACCTTCATATATTTTCATGATAATATTTATCCTTTAGTTTCTGCTTGAATAGCTCCATTAAGTACTTCCTATGTGATCAGTCTGGGGGTAATAAGTTCCCTATTGTTGCTTACCTGAGGAAATCTTTATTTTCCTTGATGGAGAGTTTTTTCTGGTTACACTATTTTGGGGTTGCGGTTATTGTCTTTATTTTAGCGCTTTGACTTTTTCATCCCCTTCTCTTCTGGCCCTCAGGATATTTTTGGTCAAGAAATCCACTGATGTGTAATCAAGATTCTCTTAGATTTGACTTGCTTTTTCTTTTGCTGTTGTAAGAGTCTATCTTTGTCTCTGACTTTGATGTTTTGTTTATAATATGCCTTGGAGAGGAGGTCTTTGGTTTGAATCTCTTTGGGAAATTTTGAGCTTCATGGATCTGGATGTCCATTTCTCTCCCTGGACTAGGGAACTGTTCGGCAATTATTTTATTAAGTGAACTTTCTATCCCTTTCTGTCTCTTCTCCTACTGGAACTCCCATAATGTGAAAATTTGTTAATGGTATCCCACCAGTATCTTAGATTTTCTTCACATTTTTTTATGCTTCCCCCCACTCTTTCCCCCCTTACGGCTAATTTTCCAAGATGTTTTCAAGTTTACAAAGTTTAAAATTTTGCTTGATCCAGTCTGCTGTTGAAATCTGTTGTACTTGGGGGTGGTGGTGGTTAATTTTATTTATTTTTTTGACAGTAGAATGCATTTTGACACATTGTACACCCATGGAGCACAACTTCTCATTCCTCTGGCTGTACGTGGTATAGTGTCACACCAGTAGTATAATCATACATGTATATAGAGTAATAATGTCTGTCTTATTTCACCATCCTTCCCACCCCCACAGCCCCACCCCTCCCGTCATGGCCCTATGCACAATCCAAAGCTCCTTCATTCTTTCCTACCTTCCACTCCCCAGTATGAATTAGCATTTTCTTAACAGAGAAAGCATTTGGGCTTTGGTTTTGGGGGATTGACTTATTTCACTTAGCATGACATTCTCTAGTTTCATCCATTTACCTGCAAATGCCATAAATTCATTCTTCTTTAAGGCTGAGTAATATTTCATTGTGTATATATACCACATTTTTTTATCCATTCATCTGTTGAAGGACATCTAGGTTGGTTCCATAGTTTAGCTATTGTGAATTGAGTTTCTATGAACATTGATGTGGCTGAGTCACTGTAGTGAGCTGATTTTCAATCCTTTGGATATAAATTGAGGAGTAGGATATCTGGGTCAAATGGTGGTTTCATTCTTAGTTTTCTGAGGAATTTCTATACTGCTTTCCTGAGTGGTTGTACCAATTTGCAGTCCCACCACCAATGTATCAGTGAATATTTTCCCCCACATCTTTGTCAACACTTATTATTGCTTGTAGTTTTTAGAATTGCCATTCTGACTGGAGTGAATGAAATCTTAGAGTAGTTTTGATTTGTATTTCTTTAATTGCTAGAGATAATGAACATTTTTTTTCATATATTTGTTGATTGATTGTATTTTTTATTCTGTGAAGTGTCTGTTCAGTTCCTTAGCCCATTTATTGATTGGGTTATTATTATTATTTTTGGTGTTAAGTTTTTTGAGTTCTCTATATATTCTGGTGATTAGTGCTCTATCTAAGGAGCATGTGGTGAAGATGTTTTTTTCTTTTCTGAGAGAAGCTTTTTAGTTTGAATCCATCCCATTTATTAATTCTTGATTTTATTTCTTGCACTAGGAGTCTTGTTAAGGAAGTCATGTCCTAAGCTGACATCAGGAACATTTGGGCCTACTTTTTATTCTACTAGGTGCAGGATCTCTGTTCTAGTGCCAAAGTCTTTGATCCACTTTGAGTTGATTTTTGTGAGAAAGAGAAGTTTAATTTCATTTTGCTACATTAGGATTTCCACTTTTCCCAACACCATTTATTGAATAGACTACCTTTTCTCCAATGTATGTTTTTGGTGCCTTTTTCTAGTATGAGACAATCACATTTATGTGGGTTTGTCTCTGTGTCTTCTGCTTTGAACCATTGGTCTACATGTCTGTATGGGTACCAATACCATGCAGTTTTTGTTACTATTGCTCTGTAGGATAATTTAAGGTTTGGTATTGTGATGCCTCCTGCTTTACTCTTCTTGATAAAGATTGCTTTGGCTATTCTGGGTCTCTTGTTTTTCCAAATGAATTTCATGGAAATCTCTTATATTTTTAAATTTGATTTATTGAAGATTTCAGTTTTGAGTTTCTGTTTGGTTCTTTGTTTTACATATGTTATTTTATATAAGATAACATATATATTATAACATATAATATATTATATAACAATATATAAAATAACATATCATATGTTATATAATGTATTATATAATATATTAATATATGATTAATATATAATTAATATATACTAGATTATATAATCTATACAATAGATTATATAATATATATTATACATGTATATCTTTAGTTTTTTGTTCAGATCATGAATTGTTTTTCTGATTTCATTGAATTGTCTAAATTGTCTACCTATATTATTTTGTATCTCTGAATTTCCTTAAGTTTATTTAATTCCTTTTCAGGAAACTCATGTAATTCTATTTCTTTGGAGTTAGTTATTGAGGAATTATTGTGTTCGTTGGAAAATGCCATATTTTCTTGTGTTTTCACATTTCTTGCGTATCTGTGTGGCTGGCTGCACAACTTTTGGAGCATCCACATCCTCAACACTTTACAAAGTACTCTTAAAGGTCAAGATTTTCACCTGCACATGAGTCTGAGCTGGTGGGCTGGGCAAGAAGCAGTCATTCTGGCTCTGGTTGGGGGTAGTGTTGCAGGCTTCATGCAGTTGCTTCAGCTGTGTGGAGCTGAACAGGATCTTACAAAACTACTGTGTCCCTTGAAACTTTAGGAACATGTTCTCTCACTGAGGCACAAGTAGATGCAGATTGCCCATGAATCTGGGGTCTTTGACCCTGAGGGACAAACTAGCAGCTTGGACCTACAGGTTGGGGATCTTCGCTATGCATCGGCAAGTCAAGATTTAAGGCACTATAATAAGACAAGAGATTTAAAATGTGGTGTCAAGGGCATGACTCTGAGTCTTAAGTTCCATCCTCCAAGTCTGGGGTTTGTAGAACAAAATTCAAGGTTCCATAAAACACATTCACTAAAGACAGACAGTGGAAAGACTTCTAGTTCTGAGGGTGTACCTATGTTCCGATAAGAAAAAGGGGACTATAAAATACTATACATAAATGGTAATGCTGATGATTCTGGGTAGCTAACTACTACTATTAAAGTGATCCTTCAATGGAGAGGTGGCTATAACCAATGGAATAGGAAAAATATGGATAGAGATCAATTTGATCACACTTAAATATGAAATTGAAGAAAATTTCCTAATTTTGGGGTCCAACATATTTACCTGGGTTCTCTCCACATTTTCCTGTCTTCAACACTAAGATCTTGACATCACGTGGTCTTTAGATTTTCTCTCTCTCTCTCCCCTTTTCTCCTTTTCCCCTTCTCTCCTCTTAATGTGTTCCTTTTTATGCCTTCCTTTCTTAAATAGCTATCATAATATAGTTCAGAATTTCCCCTTAGGGAGAAAGCTGACTCACACTGCCATGTCCCTCTCTTGTCCCATCTAGGTCCTTATCCTGAATCAATTTCTTATTCTAGCACTGTTTCTGCTGCCATGATAACCACGCAAGGAACGGAACAGACCTCCGTGGAGGGCGGCCCTGCTCTGCAGTTCCTGGAGCAGGCAACCGCTCTACGCTCCCAAGTGTGGAAAAGGATGCAGAAGAAGTTCTTGAAGGGTGAACCCTTGGCTCTCGGGGTAAGTCAGTCGCCTGTGTGAGAGAAGACCAGGGGTGTAAACTCACACCCGATCAACCCAATGCCCAATACTGTCCCAGGAACCTTGTCGTTTACCCACCAGTCCTAGGATCTTCAGTGTTTAATTTTCAGGTCTTATCATTTGAAAAAAATTGGTATGGTACTCTGTCACATCATGTTTCTGATCCAGCTACATTTAAAGTATGGTGACTTTAGTTCCATTCCAGGTGGTGGGTCATCCAGGAGAGTTCTATTTCAGCCCAGGGGAAGAACAGCTGCAGAAAGGGCTTAGTGGGCTAGCCGAGGTCCTCGCCACTGGCCTGTCTGGTAGTAGACAGACCATTTGTCCCTTTATCTGTCTCTCTGGTTCCTTTTCTTAGCCTGATTCTCAGATGGTAAAAAATATTTTATCTTCCAAACACTTCTACCTGGAATCTCAGATGGATGTGGCTAAAGAAATGGAGAGTTTAAACATTGCCACTATAGGGCAGGTTAAGGGATGCTGAATACAGAGGTTTATTTTTATCCCAACTTCAGCTGGGCTCAACTAATTGTACTTTATATTCTCCCCCACCCCCTTATTCAAATTTTTTTCAATTTTGGAAAATGCTTATTTATATTGACATATGCAATGTTTATTCTTAATATATTAAAAGGTGTTCTTTTTTGGGGGGGGTGGGGGGATACCAAGGATTGAATTCAGAGGCACTGAGCCACTCCCCAGCCTTGTTTTGTATTTTATTTAGAGACAGGTTCTCAAAAGTGAGGCTTAGTGTCTCACTTTTGCTGAGTCTGGCTTTGAACTTGTGATCCTTCTGCTTCAGTTTTGGGGTTATAGGAGTGTGCCACCACACCAGGCTTAGTAAGTATTCTTAAACAGACTTTTTAAAGAGGAATTTTAGTTTTACAGAACAATTGAGAGGAAAACACAGATATATCCCATAGTCACTCTGTGCCCATACATACATAGTTTCCCATTATCAATCTCCCCCGCCAGTACATTTTTTACAATTGATTAACTTTCAGTGACAGATCATTATAATTCAAAGTCCGTAATACACATTAAGATTCTCTCTTTGGACAAATGTATAATACACATATCCACCTTCATAGTGTCAAAGTAATTTCCCTTTTCTGAAAATCCCCCATGCTCTGTGTACTCATTCTTCCTTCCTCTCTAGCCCCTGGAAACTGCTATTGTTTTAATTCCTCTATAGTTTGCCTTGTTCTAAAACTCATATTACTGGAATTAAATATCAATTTAAATTTAATGATTTAATTAAATGACAAATTAAACAATTTAGCCTTTTAATGTAGATTTCCTTCACTGGTAGTAGACAGACCATTTGTCCCTTTATTCATTGTTTCCTCCATGTTTTTTTATGACCTGATAGCTTGTTTCAATTTAGCACTGAAATATTCCTTTTTCTGAATGTACCACAGTTCCTTTTTACACATTCTTCTATAAAATGATATTTTGGTTGCAAATGTCAATAAAGCTGCTATGAATATCTGTGTCTGGGTTTCCAATGGTCATAAATGTTCAACTCATTGGAGCGAACACAATTGCTGGAGTATATGGTGTTCAAGTCCATTTTGTGTTGTTAGAAAAAAATACCTGAGGCTTGGTAACTTAAGAAAGAAATGAGTTTATAGGGTTTACACTTGTGGTGGCTGAAAAGTGAAAAGTGTATTGCATTCTAGTGAGAGTTCCTTGGCTACATACAGACATTTTGGAGGAGGATAAAGAAAAAGCACATGCAGCACCTGAATTTATAACAGCTTGCTTTTGTGAGAGCTACCCCTCTCCTCAAGACCAGTAAAAACCCCTTACATGGATGGTTCCACATGAACTAATTACCTTTCACAAGGCCTAACCTCTTCAGGGTCCTGCCACCTCAACTCTACCACATTGGAAACCAAGCTTTCATCACCCAAACCTTTGGAAGACAAACTAAATCCGAATCATAGCGTATTGTAAGAATTTGTTCAGTTTTATAAGAAAATTGCTGAATTCCTTTATCACGAATACAAATAATAATAAATGCTGGTGAGGATGTAGGGAAAAAGGATTTACTTATAGACTATAGAACTGTAAATTAGTAAAACCATATAAAAATCAGCATGGAGATTTCTCAAAAGACTGGGAATGGAACCACCATATGACCCAGCTATTCTACTCCTTGGGATCTATGCAAAAGAATTAAAGTCAGCATACCATAATGATACATGCATACTCATGTTTAGAGCAATATAATCAGGGGACTGAAGTATCCATAAATGGATGAGTGGATAAAGAATAGGTGTAAGTGTGTGTGTGTGTGTGTGTGTGTGTGTGTACATACATATTGAATATTTTCAATGCTAATTGAAACAAGCTATCAAGCCAGGAAAAAAAAATGGAGGAAACTTTATGTGTATTAAGTGAAAGAAATCTGCATTATGGGTACACACACACACACACACACACACAGAGAGAGAGAGAGAGAGAGAGAGAGAGAGAGAGAGAGAGGAGTTTTATTTAGGCATAAAGAAGAGCCAAATTATGTCACTTGATGGAACTAGAGAATATTATGTTCAATGAACTAAGACAGACTTATCTTTTCTTCATTGTATCACTTTTTTTTTGCTGTTTTCAAAGATCAGTTGATGCTGTTTATGTGCCAATTTCTGAGCTTTCTATTCTATTCCCTTGATCTGTTTTACTATTTTTTTTTTTACAATACCACAGTGTCTTGATAAATGTAGCTTTCTAATATGCACTGAAGTTGTATAGTGTTAGTCTTCTTACTCTATTCTTCATCAATACTACATCTGCTATAAACTTCAGAATCAGTTTGTTCATACCTACAAAATGACTTATTGGGATTTTTAGATTGCATTGAATCTCTACATAAAGTTGGGAAGAAATTAAATCTTGACAATATTAAGTCTTCCTGTCTATGAACAAGGAATAGAATATCTTCTCAGGTTTTCTTAATTCTTTGATCAGAGTTTTATAGTTTTCCTTACAGGTTTTGTACAAGTTTTTCAGATTTATACATAACAATCCCAAATCAATACCTAAGTATGTAATTTTTAAGGTTACTAATTTAAATAGAGTAAGCCATGCTGAAGACAGAATCTCAGAACTGAAAGACAAAGTGGCCAGCCTTGAATATTCAGCTAGTATCAAAGGAAAAAAAATAATTAACATGATAAGAATATGTAAGAAATCTGGGATAATATGAAAAGACCCAATTTAAGAAACACTGGAATTTTGAGGGCTCTGAGGTGCAAGCTAATGGAATGGATAAACTCTTCAAGGAAATAATAATAGAAAAAATTTCCAAACCTTCAGAATGAGATGGACATTCAGATACAGGAAGAATTCAGAACCTCAAATAGAGCAGGTCAAAAAAGAGGCTCTTCAAGACCCATTATAATTAAAATGCTTAACATACAAAACAAGGATAAAATAAAAGCTTTAAGGGAAAAATGTCAGGTCACATTTAGAGGTAAACATTCAGAATCATATATCCTCCAAACCCTGTTATAGTCAGTTATGAGTTTTATTAGTTCCAGGAGTATTTTGTTTTGTTTTACCTTCAGACTTTTCTACATGACCATCATGTCATTTATGAACATTTTTAGTTCTTCCATATATATATATATATATATATATATTTCTCTTATTTCCTTTACTTTTTAATGTTAGTTTAGGTAGGACTGTAGCACAGTGTTGAAAGAAGTACCTTGCCCTTCATCTTGGTGGGGAAGCTTTGAGTTTATCACTGTTAACTATGAAGGGAGCTGTGGGATTTTTGTAGGTATTCTTTAGCCAGTTGAGGAAGTTCCTCCCCATTTCTAATTTACTAGGAGTTTTTTTAATGCCTATTCTGCATTTATTGATATGATCACATGATTTTTCTTCAGTTTATTGATGTGATAGTTAATATTAATTTATTTTTAAATGTTGAACTTACCTACCTGGGATAAATATCACTTGTTACAGAAGATAGTTATTTTTATACCTTCTTAGATTCAATTCAATGATGTTTTGTTGAGGATTTTAGTATCCATATTCATATTTTAGTAAGAATTTCAAAAGTGTTGACTTTCAGTTTTCTTTCTTCTTATTTATTTATTTGTTTATTATTTGGGGTAATTTCTGTCTGGGTTTGCTATTATGATAGTGCCCTCTCTCATAGAATGAGTTAGAATGCATGCCCACTATTTATACTTTCTGGAAGTTATTATAGAGAACTGGTATCATTTCTTTTTTTAAGAATTTGTTAGAATTTGCTATTGAAATCTTCTGTAATTGGTACTTTCTGTTTTGGAATATTTAAATCATGAAGTCATCTTATTTAATGACATAAGCCTACTCAGATCAGCTATTTCTTATTGTGAGTTTTGGTACATTATGCCTTGAGGACTTATCACTTCATCTAAGTTATCTCATTTGTGGGTACAGAGTTTCTTATAGTATTCCTTTATTAACCTTTTTATGCCCTAGGTTCTACAATAACATTCCTTATTTCATATCTAATATTTCTAATTGGTATTCTCCTATTTCTTTCATAGACTGGCTAAAAGGAAATTGATTTAAAAGCATTCCTCTGGGTGCTTTATTTATCTTTAAAAACAGTTTTTCTATTTTGGTTGCCTTTGGCTATTGGTTTCATATTTTCATTTTCATTGATTTCTCTTATGCTTTTTATTTTTTCTTGTTTCCTTTGGACTTAATTTGTTCTTCTTTTTTCTGGTTTCCTCAGATGAAAGCTCAGGGGATTGGTTTTAGGTCTTTCATCTTTTCTTATGCATGCACACATGCTATGAATTTCCCTTTGCACACTACCTTCACTACATCCCCAAGGTTGTGATACTATTTTCATTTTCTTTAACTCCTTCTTAATACCTTTTGCGCAACTGAACTCCAATTCCTCATTTTTATTTACTGTACTCAAATTTGTCAGGTTTCTGTTCTCACAACTAAAAGGCTCAGGGGTTACTCCAGTTGAACTGGGCTAACTGGGCTGTGCAAAATAACCACACAAGAGACACAAATACCTTTTTCTTTGGGGTCCTGTGACGGCTCCTCTGACATTAAGGGTCCACAGGAAGAGAGAGAGCGAGAGCTGACCCATTTTATTGAGGAGAAGCTGTTCAAATGAGGCAAGGGGTCAGGTTTCAGGGGGCTGAGTATCTTCATGATGTCCACTGTCAGCAGGTTGACTGACACCTGGGTAGGCCACACCCAAGGGCACAGTAAGAGAAGGTGACACACACACAAGGCACTTCCATGGAAGATTCTATCCTAAACAAGGCAAGGGGTTATATTACAAAGGAACAGGTGAGCATAGCTTCACCCATGGGGCTGTAGGAAGACACACCCATGCACCAGACACCAACCCTCGAACCCAAGAAGGGTGGGGAAAGCTCTGCCACATTTCTGTGACTGAGCACCTCAGCACCCAGCCAGGGAGTGTGACTCAGTTACGTGCAAGGTTGGTCTCCCACACAAATTCTTTCCTCAGATCCCAAAAGAATGCCACATTTGTTCTCTGCCTCCATCTAAGTTTTTTTTTTTTTCCTTCAGGTTACCTCTTCTTGCTAGAATGATTGCTTCCTATGTCCTGTATGACTCCTGTTTGAGCATGTGACAAAGAGAACAGCCATTGTGGTAGAAGAAGCAATGAGAGTATCAGAAAAGTGCCCTGAGCAGGTTTTGGCATGCTCCTTCTAACCTTGAAATTAATGGGTCAATGATAAATATTCTGAGGAATAATTTTGATAAGTTAGAATATCCACAGTTCTTGATGAGAAAAAAAGTGATAAGAATGTCTGGAAATTCATCAGACTATATCAAAAGATGGAGAATGAGGGTCACTTAGTGTTTGGATATGAGATAGCATGGTCACAATTTTGGTGGTGGATGATCTTTTTTAACTTTCTTTGTCATTTCTAGGTTGTGCAGATTATAATTGCCCTGATTATCTTCATCTTCGGGATAATAATGATGACTCTCAAGTGGTTCATTTATGGACCACTTATAATTTCGGGGTACACAGTTTGGGGGTCACTGATGGTGAGTAGCATATCTTCTGGAATAACTGGAGGTATCTTAACACTGTTGTTAATAAGGTGAGGCTTTGCATGGAATCCTACCCCAACTCTCTCTAGTAGTTCTAGAACTTTGAGAAAGATATATTCAACCTTGCGATAACTCAGATTTTTCATATTTAAAGTGTCAATTAAAATACAAAACTCATGGAAAGTTGGATCTACCAAATATTTAGTATGGATCTATTAGGATAGAGCATAGCAGCCTGTAACCACAGGCTCAAATCAGAACAAATTAAAGATTGACAGCAAAAGCAGACCACAAAAAGTGCAAAGGCTAGTCAGTTCCAGAGCTGGTATCCTGTAGTGTAAGAATTTATCTGACTGGCTGACACATCTCATGTTCACAAATGTGTTATAGGTGTATTCTTAAACCAGATATGGGCAATAATAATGCACTTACTAGTGTTAACTTGGACTAATCAAGAATCATTTCTGTGTCTGTTCACCCTGCTCGGAAGCTCATGGGAGTCTAAACAAAATGAGGGTGTTGTTAGAAAGGAAGAAGAGAAGACATAACTGACAGGCAATTTGTACTGTCGAACTCATCTTAGAAAACGGAGTTGCTGTTAGATAAGTTTTGTTTCACAAGTTTAATGAACGTAACTACAATTTATATTAGAATTTAAGAAAATTTAGAAATATTTCCCTAAAAAACCCACATATACAAGAAGAGTTTTTTGTTGTTGTTGTTTTTGTTTTAGCAAATTGAAAGTGTAAACTGAGTATATAAATTATCTTTTCATCTACCGACAAGAGAAAGGTAAACTGTCTAAAATGCGTCTCTGTTAGAATCAGGGAACATATTCAAGTATAAAGGATATCCACGTATCTATAAAATTGAGAATAAGACAGTTTAGAGTTTTGTGAGAGACTTGCCTTTTTAATTTTTCTGTCCTGCTGACAGTTGAAGTGCCAGATTTGAAGAAGAGCAAATGCAGATCTTTTGGAAGCTGAGCTACACTTTATTTAATAATACCAAGGCCAAAAGAGCTTTTATGAAACTCTTACCCAAATCTGGGCTCCCTGCTGAGTGGCACAGTCCTGTCCCAAGTAATCACCACCAACTTCTGAGGGAGGATTTGTCTTCATAGCATGGATGAAGCAATCGTGACTTACAGGGCTTAAGGAAATTTCCCAAGATCTTTTTGGTATAGGAATCATGACTTGAAAAGCATCAGTCCAGTTCTAGGATCACACACCACTCTAACCACTCTAGTTTTCCACTTCCACTTTTTTTTTTTTTTTGTAAGACCAGGATGGAAACCACCTTACCCAGTTCATGACTTCTATGCATGTTTAGTGGTTCACTGGGAACTACAGGATCTGTCATCAGAGGACTGCAGGTGTTTGCCACCTGACAAGCCTTTGCTTAGTCATGAGAAACATTTTTGCTGATACCTTCAATTATTTTCTCACCCTTACTTCCAAATTTCAGTTGAAAAGTGCCTCTCTTTTCTCTTTTATATGGTACAAGTTCAAAGACCAATTGTACAGTTTTCTTAGGTCTCCAGTACAGCTATGGATCTTGATGAGAATCTTGGAGCATTATCCCCACTTTGGTCTATTTATTCAAGCTTGCTTTTGTTTCCTTTGGAACACTGTCGTGTTTTACTCATGTATATCTTTTGCATTCCTTGTTAAGTCTAGTCTTCTGAGATGCTATATATAATTTTTGCTATGCTTCATGATATTTTCTTATTAAGTCTTATCTTTTAACGTACAAATAGACAAATATTTATAAATCATATATAATTTCTGGCACAGCATATCTGATATTGTGTACAACATATATAATATATAATGTTTTCCATGTGCCTGACTGAACTTTCAATAGTTAGTATTAGTTTTTAGATGATATTCTTGGATGTTTCAAATATAAATCATATTCATATGTGAATAAGAGTAAGTCTAACAAATTATTCAAATATTTTCTCACCTAAGTATTTTGGTTACTGTACTCAGAATACTATTATATAATAATCCATATCATTATCTTGATTTTAATTTTAAGGAGGAGACCCTAGTATTTCCCCACTGAACATGATAAAAACTTTTAGGTGAAGACAGACATTCTATCATATTATAGAAAATACAGTTCTTCACATTCTATTAACCATGTTTAAGTCAATAGTAATTTTGAATTGTTTAAATGCCTTATCAACATTGTAAATAACAGTAGCAATTAATTCGATTTTTCCCTTAATACCACAAATTTAATAAATTAATAAGTTATAGTAAGTTATAATTTCTGATATATCTTTAAAGTTTTTTTAACCACATTTTTCCCCTCTTATTCCTAGTTTATTATTTCAGGCTCCTTTTCAATTGCAGCAGGAAAAAGAACTACAAAAGGAATGGTAATATTTCTTTTCATTTTACTTCAGCATTGAAATGGGAAGGATTTAATCAAATGTGCATTCTTCCAGAACAGAAAGCAAAGTTTGTTTCTTTGATTTAAAAACATCAAGAGATATTATGAATTTTACCTAGAAAGATCTTTCTTTCAAAAATGGTGGACGAACAATTGGCTGATGATAGAGTTACTGACATTGACCAGATATTTTGGCAGAGTAGTTGCTGCACAAATTGTTATGCAGATATAGGATATAGAGAATTCTAGAAAATAAATGTCAGGTGGATTCAGCCATCCAAGTCTTGAAGCTTGAGATCCAGCCCACAATGACAACATCAAGTATTGGAGTGGACTAATCTTTATTGACTTACTGATGAAAATGAGTATTCCAACTGTATCCAGGAAGGATTTGAGTTTGCAATAAAGGAAGTTCCTCAAGCACTATTACATAAGAAGAAGTGAATTTAAAACATAACTCTTGGGTCAGCATGTAAAAGTCAAAAGTCCAGATCTCAGCAAACATTTTACTTACTGGCTAAGGGCCATATTTGAGTTTTCTTTGCTCAAGGATAAATTTTAAATTCTGGAGCATAATAAATACAGTCTTTCCAAATTTGTCCTCCACCTACCTTCCTACCTTCTCCACCAGCTACTGCCATTAAAATGTACCTTGCACTACACACACACCAAACCTCACACTTGCCTGAGCAATTTCTATTTCTATAAAAAGCTTCCATACCTTCTCCATGAGAAGAGAATACGAACAAAAGCATACACAAAAGAGAGACATAATATGAGAATAGAGGCATGAGAGTTGAGAAGCAGTTAGAAATGATGAGAGGTCACTCACCTGTAGCAGAGCAGGGGAGGAAATGGACGCAGGAACAGTACAAGGGACTTTGAAATCTCTCCTGGGGGATTGAGAGTTCATCTCTTGTGCCCATAGGAGTTATCTGAAGGATTTAATCTTTGTTTTTCCTTTTGATTGGCACATTATAGTTATACATAACAGTGTGACTTTTTATGATATATTCATACATGCACACCAATAAAACAGTATAATTTGATCAATTCCATTCCCCAATACCTCCCCCTTTCCTCCCCTCCCTCTCCCCTGGTCCCTGTTTCTATTTTTCTGGTCTCCCTTCTATTTTTTTTAAACATAATAGTTCTAATTACTTATAGATCACAGTAGAATGCATTTTGACACATTGTATACAAATGGAGCACAACTTCTCATCCTCTGTCTGTACATCATAATGCAGAGTCACTCCAGTAGTGTAATCATACATATGGTAATAATGTCTGTCTCATTCTACCCTCCATCTCATCCCCACAGCCCCATCCCTCCCCTCACACCCCTCTGCACAATCCAAAGTTTCTTCATTCTTCCCCTACAAGCCTCCCTCCCCACAATATGGATCAGCATCAACTTATCAGAGAACACATTTGGCCTTTTGGTTTTTGGGATTGGTTTACTTCACTTAGTATTATGTTGTCTAGTTCCTTCCATTTACCTGCAGATGTTATAATTTCATTTTCATTTAAGGCTGAGTAATATTCCATTGTGCATTTGTACCACATTTTATTTATCCATTCTTCTGTTGAAGAGCACCAAAGTTGGTACCATAGTTTAGCTATTGTGAATTGAACTGCTATGAACATTGATGTGGCTGCGTCACTGCGTCACTGTGTATGCTGAATTTAAGTCCTTTGATTATAAACCCATTTGACCCATATAACTGAGTCAAATGGTAGTTCCACTCCAAGTTTTCTGAAGAATCTCCAGACTGCTTTCCAAAATGGTTGCAGGAATTTGCAGTCCAACCAACAATGTATGAGTGTACCTTTTCCCCCACATCCTCGCCAACACTTATTGTTGCTAGTATTCTTGATAACTGCCATTCTGACCGGAGTGAGATAAAATCAGAGTAGTTTTGATTTGCATTTCTCTAATTAGCAGAGATGATAAAAGTTTTTTCCATCTTTTTTTGGTTGATTGTAGTTCTTCTTCTGTGTAGTGTCTGTTCAGTTCCTTAGTCCATTTATTGATTGGGTTATTTGGGGTTTTGGTGTTAAGTGTTTTGAGTTCTTTATCTATGAAGGATTTATTCTTGGGAAGAACAATATCATATTTTTGTTTCAGCAAAAATTTAGGATTGAAAGTCCTGAGGGAAAAGAGTCGATTTAAGAGATTATTAATGAAGATTGAGAGGATGAAATGGGATGGGAAAGAGGTAGAGGTTGAAAGAGATTGATGGAGATCTATCTGGGGATGTTGTGGGTTGTTTAATTGATTTTCATTGCTTCCTAGGTCCGAAGCAGTCTAGGCCTGAACATTGTCAGCTCTGTGTTGGCTTCCACAGGGATGATCATCACTATAATTAATGTGGCTATTTTTACCAACTTTTACTATTACTGTGACTACAATGAGATTTCGGATCATTGTGGGACCATGAAAACTTTAATGGTAAGTGCTTCCTCTTTTCCTGGGATACCAGGGTGGAAGAAGTATGCAGGGCTCTGACCTTGGCAAAAGCAACCTCCATTAATTAGTGAGGCACTTCGGGAATTTGGATGTGACTGAGAAATAGAACGGTCTTTTATTTAGCCATCAGGTTCACCTCTCATTGCTGTTTGTTCTTCCTCTACATAGCATGAAGCCAACCGAATAGAAAGCAATATTGATAGAGCACATACTCATTAAATAGCTACTGAGATGAGCATGTTTGCACCATTTTTCCTGTTTAATTTTAAAACATGGATCAGTGTGTACTATTATGTCCACTTAAAAAAAAAAAAAAAAAAGGAGGGCAGATGTCAGTTCCTATAGGACCTCAGGGCTTCCTGAGGGAGCCTGATGAAGTTACATGGTCCTCTAGTAATATTTGAAAATTGTCTTGAACGTTATCCTACAGGTGGTGATAAATCCAGCAACCTTCTTGACATCTCTTGACATAATTCCCAATGTTCAAATATCCTTCCGAGGACATTTTAGCCTCCACATCCAGCTCCCGACAAATTCTCCATCTTTGTTGTGTATCTTGACTACTTTTTTTTGTATCACTTACAATGGATTTGGGGCAAATAAGCTTGGACCCTCTCATCTCCGTTCCTTGTGTTCCTTCGTTGTGCTTTGTTTTAGGGTCTGGAGTGTGTGGTGCTTATTCTGAGTGTGCTAGAATTCTGCATTGCTGTGTCCCTCTCTGCTTTTGGATGCAAAGTGATCTGCTGCAGCCCCGGTGAGGTGAGAATTGGCCTTCCTTTGAAGGCGTCTCTACCAGTTTTCTATTGCTGTGTGATGGACTTCACAGACCTGCTAGTCAAACCCTAGCAGCTGGTGGGATTCTGTCTTCTGCTCTCCCAGGAGGCTTAAGACAGCACAGGTTGATTATCTCAGTTACAGCTTAGCTGGGTCCTCTCCTCAGGGTCTTCCCAGGCTGTACTCATGGAGCTCGTTGAGCCCATGGTCTCATATGAAGTTTCTAGCCCTCTTCCATGCTCATGTGGCATATTTCACATGAACTATGAAATACTTCTCTGAGGACATACTTCTCTGAGGACAGCAGAGGACAGCCTATGTCTCAAGTTCTTTCAGTCTCACAGGATTAGGTAAGATCCATCCAGAGCAATGTTCTTTTTGATATACTCAGAGTCAACTGATTCCTAACCTCCTTACAGGAGTGTCACTTCCTCGAATTGACAGGTTCCACCTTTTACATTTTCTGTCATCTCCCAAAAGTCCATTCAAATTAGGAATCCATCAGTGAATTAATATACGGATGAGGTTACAGCCCTATGATCCAAACAGTTCTCCAAAGTCCCACACTCAAAGGGAGAGAATCACAAAAGTCTCAACTATTGGGTGTGATCTTAGGAGTCTGACTATCCCCCTTCAAGGGTATCATGAGTCTAGATCAGAGACTTCTTCACTGCCGCAGTCTGGCTGGGCACAAAATAACCGAGCCGCCACATAGCCTTGTAGGTTCAAACAGCAACCTTTGTTCCCGAACTCTCACGGGCACTCTCCACACACGCTCCCTGGGAACCTCTCTCTAACGCCACCCACGCTACTCCCCCAGGCACACACACACACACCAACCGGAAATCCCTCCTCTGGACCTTCCCCAACCAATGTGAACCCTCCAGGAATCCCCGCGAGAACTCCAAAGTAGCTCGAGAACTCCAAAGCAGAGGTGCCGGCGCCCGAGGCAGCAAGAGCCTCTCCATTGCCGGACAGTAAAGGTCAAATATACAATACAAATAATCCAGCATCACAGCAATTATATATAGCTTAACTCAAATCATCATCTCAATGGTTCGCTGGCGTCACCTTTCAAACATTCCCTCTGGCAAATGCCAGGCGTCATTCTGACTGGGCCTGTGGCTCTCAACACTTCACAACGGAGATGTCCTCCAAGAACGCCAGATTTTGTTTCATTACTCAATTACAGAAACCTTCCCTAGACTACTGAAGAAATTCCAGGGATTAAACTCCTTTATCCATTTTGAGACCTGCAGTAGATTCTGTCTTCTGCTCTCCCAGAAAATAATGACTCACACAGAGAGTAAGGCAAGAAATGGAGAGAAGAGACCAGGAAAGAGGTCCTAAAAAGAATAGGGTGGTGACAGGGGCTGGGGACAAGGTATAGTCTTCAAGGACACACCCTCAAAGACCTACTCCCTTCAACTAGATCTCACCTCCGATAGTTTCCACCATCTCCCTATAGTCCACTCAAATGATGAATGTATCAATAGACTAATCCACTGATAAGGTTGGAGCTCCCTGGATCCGATCGCTTCCTAAAACATCTACCTGTGAATATTGCTGTACTGAGGACCAAGCTTTCGATATTTGAGCCTTTGGGGAGATGCTCCAGATCCAGCCATAAGGTTGATGAGGGGTTTCCTCTAAACATTGAGGGATCCAGAAAGAAAGTGGCTAGTAAAACCCTAGCAGCTGGTGGGACTGCAAATTGGTGCAACCACTCTGGAAAGCAGTATGGAGATTCCTCGGAAAACTAAGAATGGAACCACCATTTGACCCAGTTATTCCACTCCTCAGCATATACCCCAAAGACTTGAAATTAGCATACTGTAGTGGTACAGCCACATCAATGTTTATAGCAACTCAATTCACAAGAGCTAAGCTATGGAACCAACCAAGGTGCCCTTCAACAAATTAAGGGATAAAGAAAATGTGGTACATATACACAGTGTAATATTACTCAGCCATAAAGAAGAATGAAATTATGGCATTTGCTGGTAAATGGATGGAAGTGGAGAATATCATCTAAGTGAAATAAGCCAATTCCTCAAAACCAAAGGTTGAATGCTCTCCCTGATATGGAGATGCTAACTCACAATAAGCAAAGGGGGGTGAGTAGGGAAGAATACAAGTACTTTGGATTAGACAAAGAGGATTGGAGGGAAGTTAGGGGAATGGAAAAGAAAGCCAGTAGAATGGATCAAGCATTACTTTCCTATGTTCATATATGAACACACAACCGATGTAATTCCACATCATGTACAACCAGAAGAGGAAGTTGTACTCCATGTATGTATAATATGTCAAAATATATTCTATTGTCATGTATCACCACAAATAAAAAATAAATAAGTAAATAAATAAAACCCAGCAGCTGCTCATTAGCTTCATTACACAAAGGCCCTGGGGCAGCAAAACTCACAGACAAATATAGAACAACAGTTTAATGAGACTGCTCTTGTGGTTCTCATTTCTGTTCTTTGTGTCTCTTTGCCTTCTTTTGAGGCTCCCAGGCCACACCAAAAAAAACACCCCCACAGAAGACACAGGAGCTAAATCACCTGAAGTCTCATAGTGGGTTTTGCCTAATTGAGGTCTGAGAAGTGTGAGTTTCCTGATAATTCCTGCCACCCTGGGCCAGTGTGGGTTCAGTGGGGCTCTATTGTGGCAGCAGATCCTGATTTGGATGTGCACTGTCATCAGCACGAGTAACCTGGTTTGGAGGAGCAGCCCTGCATTTCCCATAGCACCTGGGTTAGGGGTGACTCCTCAGGGACCATCGTTCTCGAATAAGATGGATCAACTCTAAGGCTCCCAGCCATCAGCATCTCAGGCCCAGAGCCATCACTGGGTGAGGCTCCTAGATCTAGCCTGGTCTGAGGAACGCCTGAGAGTCCAGGCTGCTCTGGATGGAATTCAGAGAAGGTGGTGTGGACACTGCAGATGACATAAGTGGGTGGGGAAGGGAGGCCTGACATAGTTTGGTCACTCACCTGTGGCATTCTCATTTATTTCACAGGCCCTGATAATTCTGCCACCAAATCCTCCTGTGACAGAAACAGCAGCTTGTGCACCTTTTAAGGAGGTGTAATGCCACCATCAAGAGAAAAATGTTCCAGAAAATCTATTCTTACTTTAACTCAAGAACGCAATTTAGAATCCCACTCTGATTTGTGTGTGTGTGTGTGTTTATAAATTCAGAATCGTGTTCTCATTTTTCTCCAGGAACTTGACAACTCAATCCTCTGTATCTTTATCAGAATATTTGAAATTAAATAAATAAAGCATGCATTTAAGGGTCAGCAGAACTTGGACGTTTTCATTTATTCTCAAGACTTGACATATAGGGATTAAACATGCAAAGAAACTGTGATTGCTGCTAAAATGAGACAGCTGGGGCACAGATTATTTTTCCTTCAAGAAATTTGAATACATGTGTCTCCCCACTTTTTCTTTCTTTTTTCCCATGAAAAGTGCCATGGGATAGCACAACCAGTCCTTGCATGTGCCTGAGTATTGAGCATAGGTACGTGTGGATCAGATACAACTCATATTTTCTCTCCCTCTCTCCTGCTATTTCCTACTAGGCAGGATTGAATTTTAATGAGATTTGTTTCCAGTTCCATACACAGGATTATACAATACACCATTTTTAATAAATATTCATCAAATCTACTTGATTTTGTTATTACAGAGCAAAAATAAATAAAATTAAAAGCAGTTCATTCATGTGTTACCTGTTTCCCATTCAGATGCCCATATTTGTGACAAGAGACTTTAGTATTGAGGTCAGAAAAAAGAGTAATGTGCTAAAGAATGTGAGCTTTCTATACTATCAACCTAGGGTTTTTATCTTGAAGATCTCATCTCTTTTATTTTCTATGTGTCTAAGCCAGGCAGAGAAAGGGGAAAAGTATATGATCTCATTTAGGAGAAAAATGTTGAAGGCAGAAAACCAAACAGTAGTTATTTGGGGTGGAGGGAGGGGAGAAGGAACGAGGTGGGGAGATAAAGATCAAAGGATACAACATAGTAGATATGTAGAGATGTACAATATGAAGACTTCGTATTTGGGTAGATTTCATCTGCTCTACAGACACACACACAGGTAATTATGTAAGATGATAGTCATATCAATTTGTTTCACTGTAGTAATCATTTTTGTTTTATGTATCTCATAATATCACATTGTATAACAAATATGTACAGTGAAATTTATAAAAAAAGAAAAGTATTTGACTTCATGATAATTGACCCCTAAGTCCCTTAGTATATGTTTCCTAGGAATAACATTCTACTATACAACCTGAATACTATATTGTGTCCTAAAAATGTAGTTACATATATACACAATGGAATATTACTCAGCAATTAAAGAAAATAAAATCATGGCATTTGCAGGTAAATGGATGCAGTTGGAGAAGATAATGGTAAGTAAAGTTATCCAATTCCCAAAAAACAAATGGTGAATGTTTTCTCTGATATAAGGTAACTGACTCATAGTGGGGTAGGGAGAGGGAGCAAGGGAGGAATAAATGAACTCTAGATAGGGCAGAGGGGTGGGAGGGGAAGGAGGGGCCAGAGGGTTAGCAATGATGGTGGAATGTGATGGACACAATTATCCAAAGTTCACGTAGGAAGACATGAATTGGTGTGAATATACTTTATATAAAACAGAGATATGAAAAATTGTGCTGTATATGTGTAATAAGAATTGTAATGCATTCTGCTCTCATGTATTTAAAAAATAAACGCAATTAAAAAGTTAAATGGGAAAAAGACTATAAAATGAAAAATGAACATAAAAAATGTAGTTACATACTAATATACTACATAGTTTCTATTAAAATGCCCTCCATTGTTCCCAAATATATATATGTATATATTAGCAAAAAAATACAATTAATATGTAATCATATAACACACACATATACATATGTGTGTGTGTATATATATGTTTTTACTTGTATATTTGGCTACTTTGTCTCTTTTACCCAGAAAAGTAATTATTTTTTTTCTCAAGCAATTCAAGTTTATTTGTAGATTTTAGTAATAATATTGGTAAATTAAGAAATTATAAGCACAATTTGCTCAAATGAAAGCATTTTGAATAAACTTCTCAATGATTTTTTTAGAATTAATTATATATTTTTTCATGTTTCATTGGTGATGATTCTATTATCTAATTTGAATTTATAAATATCCAAAGGAAGTTTTAAAGCATAATTATAATTAACCCTTTCTAAAAGAAAAGAATTTATAACAGTACATTATAGAGTAACAATTCAAACTCAACTATTTTTCTTTTTAATTGGAGCATAAAGCTGAGACAATACTTCGTACCAGGTTAACATGCGACTTTTTGGTTTTAAAGGTGAATGTACATACTAAACATAGAAATTCACCACTAAAACTTTGTCATTACCTCCCAGACTACCTTGACATTATTCCTCCATTTCATAATTGACAAATTCCCACTACTGGTCACCTGGCCAACACCTTCCATTTCTGGAACTTAACACTTAGTAAATTATGGACACAGAAACGTTGTTATGACAATTACTTTGTCTCTTAAGATTCCTATAATCTAACTCTTAGATCAGTTCCCACCCTGTTAGCTTGTTGGATTTTATATTTGTTGGTCTTTTATGTTTTTAAAGTCTGTATTAGTTACTTTATAAAATGTCTCACATACTGGAAATTTTTTGTTGTTTTGGTTTTTGTTGTTTTTTTTCCCCACAAGTTCATGTTAACATTTTTAGCAAGAGCCCAACATAGGTGAAGTAATTTACTTATTAATTTTCTATTGTACCAGATAAGAAGGTATATACTATCGGTTTATTCCATTTTTTGCTAATGCTAACACCACTTTAACCACTTTGATCACATGGTGAAAGTGGTGTTACGGACTGAGTTTTTGTATAGTCCCTCCCAGATTTGTAGGCTAAAATCCTAACATCCAGTGGGCTGTCACTATGAGATGGGGCCTTGGCAGGTGATCAGATCATGAGGGTGGAGCTCTCATGAATGTATTAGTGCCCTCAGAAGAGACCATGGAGAACTTTCTTTCTCCTTTCCACCAGGGGAGGACACAGCAGGAAGACCCCCATCTGTGAGCCAGAATATGCTCAAATAATATGTATGAGGCACAAATAGGAATCAATTGACGTGAGGCTATTACTTCTATATAAAAAAAATGGTTTTGTTTTTTTTCCTCATTTGGCTATATCCTGTGATGAGACAGAAGTCTTGACTATAGTGACTCCATGTTGTTTAATATCTCCATTTTGTAAAACAGCCATGTCAACTAGGAAGGTCACGACTGGGACAAGTTGTTTTTCTTTTGCTTGTGAAAATCCTCAAGAACACAGAACTATCTAACTGGGCTCTGTTTCTGTAACTGGGATGACTGGGCTAATTGTGATTGGCTAAGCTTCCCGCCACCTGACTGCAATCTCCCGCTTCTGTAACCTGGCTTGCTTGCATTAGCTAAACCCCCAAACATTCCTTTTGTGGTTTTCAAGCTTAAAAGGAACGCCCTTACAATTGTTTGGGGCTGATCCGGAACAGACTTTGTGTTCCCGGTCAGTCGCCGAGGGTGTGCTTCAATAAAGGCTTGATTCGATTACATGTGAGTGGTCTGGAAGTCAATTTATGAAACCCCAGGACGTTGCTTTAACTATAATGATCCACATACTCTCAGAGATCAAACAGCCAGAGACCTGCTCATAGCTGTTAGTTTTTCCCATGTAGAGAGAACCTACTGCTTACTTTACTTTGCTTAAATCTCAGCTGAGGACAATGTTTACTCTTTGCTCTATGTGACACTTCCCTTTTCTTCTCCACAATGGGAAGAAGATTTTCACTTCTCTGAGAAGTTCCAGAAAGTTTTGTGAAACAGCTGGTGATGACCTTCTCGTCTTCTCTGAGGTGGTTGAATCCTGGAGAAGATGGCCAGGCTATGTTTACAGGCAGACTTCCCATTCTCCAAACCGCAATTTATCCACAAGACATTATGAAAAACGCAACTTCTTGTGAAACAATGCATTTGTTTTCTTCTCTCTTTCAAGCATATAGGACTTTTCAAGTTCTTTCCTAAGAATGCATATTGAAAGGAAAGTGACCAGAACACTCGGAGCAACCAAAAGATCTTTATTGCAGCAGTACAACAAAGAGAAAGGAAAGAATGAAAGAGAGAGAGAGAGAGAGAGAGAGAGAGAGAAAGAGCAAGAGAGAGAGCAAGAGAGGGGGGCCTGGCAGGAGGGAGTTTTTATAGCCCAAATCTAATGGGGCCTCTGGGTCTGCAAGCTGCCTTGTTGGCCCAAGGGGGGGTTAAGTGTTCAGCCTTGAGCGGGACTTGACACAAACAGGTGATAAAGGACCAGATAGAGGGGGTTTGAGTGCGTGGGCTATCTTGCAGCCAACATCTGTTCAGCCTGCCCAGCAGACAACAGAGTTCAGCCTGCTCTGCACCCAACACATATAAAGTGGAAGGGAAGAGGAAAACAAATGGAGGAAGGAAAAGGAGACGTGGTCTAGTAGCTACTTTGGAGTTTTGCAAAACTCCAAAGAATAATAAGAATATTCCACTAAAAAGATTATGGCAAGTGCTTCAATGGAAATCAATAGAAATAGAAATAGAAACAGAAAATCAGTAGAAAGGAGTTCCTACTGTAGGCCTAGGAGAGTGACCTCGAATAGAGGAGCTGATTATGATAACTAGGAAAAGGGCAGATATCCTCAAAATTACAACCAATCCCAGCAGCTTGGGCAGGTGGCTGAGGAAGGAGGATGATGAGCTCAAAGCCAGCTTCGGCAAAAACAAGGTGCTAAGCAACTCAGTGAAACCCCGTCTCTAAATAAAATACTAAATTGGGCTGGGGATGTGTAAAAAAAGAAAAAAGTTCATAAAGATTCCTGTGGTTTTGAAGAAGCAAGTTTAAAGGGTAGATGATAAAAGCTGAGATGCAGAAGGGACCTGGGAAACAGGATCTAGGTAGAAAAGCAACAGACAAACTAGGCAAGTGGTCATTTTGGGTCCAAAAGTTAGGGCCGTCTTATTTTCCAAGTAGAGATCCTTAGCCCAAGAAAGGCCAGGGTGGAAAAGAACAACCCATGGACCAGCAGGAATAAGGCGTATTATTTTTGGAGTCTGTGCACAGAGTTGTATGAAGAGTTAAATGATCAGTAAAATTAGCCCTAACTCCCTCATTGCCACATATAAACATCTGCTCTTGGGCTTTGCCATAGGAACATGGGTGGCTCCCAGCTAAGTCAAATGGGATCTAGTAGCAAGAAATTAACTTGAGTGCCATCTGCAGGACGTGGAATAGGAAGCGCCAGCCTTCATTCCTCCTGAAGTTTTTCACTTAACAACATATGGACCAAACTGCCTTTGCCAGAACTCAGGGAGGAGGCAAAGGAGCGAGCGCCCAGGTGGAGAGTGCAGCCAGGAAGACACCCATCGAGGTGGGTGGTGAAGTTCATGGCACTTTTACCAATCCTCGCCTCTTTGTCACCCTGGCACCCAACTCCAAACATTTACATCAGAAGGGCAAGATGAGTGGACCACGCGTCCAGCATTCTGCATTCTGAGGGTGTCATCTGGGGGCCTGGTTTCTATCTCACCTGACTCCAAGTGCTGACATGAACTGGCACAATTTGGGTACCGTGGTAGGGTACCAAGAATACAGGTGAGCACCCTGGTTTCAGTTCTAGAGAGATTGTAGCACCTCAGCCAGACACCAGCAGGAGAAAGAGAAAACACGCCCAGAGAATAAGCCAGCAAATCTCTTTAACTGGACAATTACACATTTAATCCCAGGGTCGAACACCCCAGCCTCAAAGTTTTGAGGGCCTCTGGAATCTCTAGCTATGCTGATTGCTGAAGTCTTCCTCTTATATGATTGGCCAATCTGTAATGACTGGAAAAGTTTTTTTGTTTTTTTAGAAATACGTAAATCTCAGCAAAAGAGCACCAAACATACAGAGGAACAGAAAAACATCTATTTCAAAGGAATAAAATAAATCTTCAGAAATCAACCCTAAAAAAACAGATGTCTCGAGTGAAAGGAAGCCTAGTAGAGCAGAGGAAGGAAAGGGGAGCAGGGAGGGAGGCCAGGAGGGAAAAGTGGAGCATCATGAACCCAAATCGATTTTCATGCAAGTATGAGTTTGTCGGGATGAACCCAACTACTGTGTGTAACCATAAAGCTCTAATAAAAATACATTAATTAAAAAATAAGAAAAAAATGCCCAGAGGTCTATAAATTATTTGACTTTGTAAAAATGTTTGCATACTTGTAGGTTGTTTTTTTTTAGCGTTCTTCACAAAAGCCAAGAGGTGGAATAACCCAAGCATCTGTTGATAGGTAAAAAAAGAAAATGTGGCATGTACGTGAAAGAAAGAAATGCTGCAATATAGACGAAACTCAAGGGCATCGTGCTAAGTGAAGCAAGTCAGTTGCCAAAAACATTAAAATAAATGCTGTGATCACAAGAGGTGTCTCAAGTCATCCTAGAGGTCACAGGAAGCAGAAAGTAGTTGCCAGGGTCAGGGAGAAAGGGAAAAAGATCCTGTGGTTTGTTCAATGGCTACAAAGGTTTTGTTTCAGTAGAGAAAAAGCCCTAGAGATCTGCTGTGCAACAATTTGACTATAATGAATACTACCAAACTCTACACTTGAAATGGTTAAGATGGTGAATTACGTGAGTTTTTAATTATAACTAAAAGTTTAAAAAGCCAAAATCAAGAAATTGTTTAAAGAAAACAATATCCTGATTCTTACATACCCACCTATACACAGAAGTCATAGAAAACCCTTTTGCTCCTAGATTAATGGTTATCAACATGGGGTGAAGGGATTTTGCTCCTCCTCTGTTGGAGGACCTTTGGCAATGTTTGATGACATTCCTGGGTGGCATACCTGAGGTGGGATTGCTGCTGGCATCTAGAGAGTAGCGGACAGGATATCTGCTAAACAATTTACTGGAGCACAGAACAGTCCCCTACAATAAGGATTTATCTAGCCAATGTGTGATCATTAGGAGCTTCTTTTGAGAAACCCTGTCCTAGATTATTAATCAGCATGTGTTATCATTATATCAGTCTTTCCCCTCCAAATTAGGTTGGTGGGGTTCAGACTCTGTAAATAACTGATAGTATAAACGCTGGATGGAACTCAGCTGAGACACTAGAGAGAGGAGCCTTGTTCAGAGGTTGATGAAGCCCCCAAAGAAAAGAATAAACAGGAGAGGGTAAAGGAGGGGGAGGGGGATGGATGGGGGAGGGGGACAGAGAGGGAGGTGGGTGGGAGGAAGAAGTGGGGCAGATAAGAAGGGAAGGCAGTACATGGACCACTTTGGGCCACTCTGCAGGATTCTGTGCTGAGCACATTACATGTGTTTGAATCCTTCAAACTTCTCTAAGTTTTCTTTTAAATTTATGCTAAAGAGGAAACAGATGGAAGAGGGAGGTTTTGCCAGGGTGGGCAGATTCAACTGGTTTATTGATGAATTTCCTGGAAGGGAAGTGGCTGTGGTTGTCCCTTAAGAGGCCCACCCACTTCTTGGTCAAGCTCAGGAGGAAAGCTGCACCCCACTAACCCACTGGATTGTTCCATAGCAATAGGGGGCAGGATGTGATGGGGAAATGACAGCGGGCACCTGAGGAAGTGGAAGGGGCACCAGGAGACCAGGAGGGTGAGGGTGGACAGGAGGGTGGGGGTGGAGGCTGTTCTGCCCCTGCCACAGACTTCTGGGAGAATCCATCCTCCCTCTCAGACCCATCTCCAGATTAGTGGTTATCAACATGGGGTGAAGGGATTTTGCTCCTCCTCTGTTGGAGGACCTTTGGCATACCTGAGGTAGGATTGCTGCTGGCATCTAGAGAGTAGCGGAGAGGGAATCTGCTAAACAATCTACTGGAGCACAGAACAGTCCCCTACCACAAGGAATTATCTAGCCAGTAACCTCTTGTCCTTCTGGCCCTGAAGGCAAAGACAACCTTCTAAATGGGGTTCCTTCATGCAGAGCCCACTGCTCCCTGGGGACAGCGGTGGCTCATGCTGTGTTCCTGGGTTTCTTCTGGCAGCACCCCCCACCCTAAGGAAAGCAGGAAGGAAGCTGTGCAGCTGTATCTGCAGCTGGCTTGGGTTCCCCTGCCCAGTGCATCAAAGTCAGCTCCAGAGAAGAGCTCCCTCCAGGGCGGCAGGCTCTCAGGGACCTCTGCCCTCAGGAGACCACTCCACTCTAAGCATGCGTTTGCTGAGCGGGTTCAGATCTTCCTCAATCTTCCCCATCGGTACCTCTTCCAGTTTCACTACTTCCATAGAAGTCCCCAACCTTTCCTGAAGTCCATTAGTAGAGAAAGTGGCCAGGGGAGGAAGGTGGCTTTAGAATAGGCAGCAAGTAGGCAACAAGACCTGAAAGTCTGCTTCTAGTTGTGGAATTGGGAGAAAAAAAAAATATATATATATATATATATATATATATAAATATATTTATAAACAACAAATATATAAATATAAATATGTATATGTTTAGACAGCAAAATAAAAAAATATTTTTCTATGTTCTATTGTTACTATTTTTGGCCACATGTTATTGAATGTGCCTTGAAAGCTACATAGGCATTATTACTATTATTATATGGTTAACTACATAATATAAAATACTTTATTATTTATCATCTTTCTATTACTAGTAATATTATTATTAGAACTGGTGACATATTATTGAACGCTGCTTAGAAGCCTTTCATAAATATTTTATGTCATCTCCATAACAAGTTTCTAGTATTGTTTTCTAATAGTTTATGTAACAGGGGTCCACTTCATGCTTTGAATATAACCCTTGCTGCTCGGCCACTATGGCTTCTTTTAAAAGTGACATACTTCTTTTTTCTTTCCTATTGTTCCTCTGCCCGTCCCTAACCATGGGGAGAACAAGGTGAAATTTATTATTGTCTTAGCCCGAGTTATCTGAGCTTTGGTTCACAGACCACAGGAATGAAAGAATCCAAACTTTAGGGCTGGCACTTGCAGGTGTATCTATTAAAGCTACAAATGAATGATATTCCCTGACAGGGCACATCTGTAGCCTTTGAATCTCCTCTATAAAAGGTTACTGTTCCCCCAGGCAGTTAGAATCTCAGCCTCTTGGGCGTAATGTGCACTATGAAGTCTCCTTTGCTAGTAAAGCAATAAAATTTCTTTTTCCTTTTTCTCAAAATCTTATCCTTCTTATTGGATCAGCATCAGGGACAAGGACCCAACTTTTGGTATGGATTAGGAAAAAATGCAACTTCAAGAACATAGACCTGTCTAACAGTGTGGAGCTGGTAAGTATTCAAGGGGCAATTCACACAGAAAGCTCTGTGACGCTTACCGACTCCCAACGTTGGTAATTCAATTAGTGATTTTTCTGAAGTTACTAGAAGTTCACAAGTCAGAAAGTGCAGACACATTTCACAAATCTCCGCGCTGCAAGCATCACATCCTGTGCAGCTGTAAACGCTGGGCTCAGGAAGGGCTGGTGACTTTCAGAAGGCGACAAGTAGGAACTGTTGATCAGACTTGGAGAACCCGGAGTTACCACGTCCTGGGGGTTTCTGAGAGTCAGCTGGGACCACGGCACTGGTCCTCGGGCACAGGTAGGCAATGCAGGAAGACTCTTCTCAACCCAGCGCTCTTGCTGTGACATTATGGGCACAGGGATTTTAACTCTTTCTGCTATTTTCTGACTGCATGATCTTGGTGAGGCACTTAGCTGAGGTCACATGATAAATGGAAGCCGAGCATTTTTCTCTTCAAATGCCATCAGGCCATTGGCAACTTGTGCAACCCATGGGCAAGGAATGGCATAGAGGTAGAAGGCTGAATCCTAATAAATCATGACTGGCAGGGTAGATTGGGGTTGAAATTCATCACACAGCGAGCGATGCAGTTGTTGTTGGTAGGACTAGGGGAAAGGGACATGGCTACATATTGAATGCTTTCTGGGAACATTTGCTTCTGAACATGGAGACCTCTCTCATGATTCGTGCTCATGCCCTCCTTGACGTGTTGATTCTGTACAATCAGTGTCAAACACGACAGGAAAACCCTTAGGAAACCAAGGCTTTGTGTTTTCACTGCTCAGTACTATCAGTTTCTTTCCCTAATAAAAAGGGGAGGGGGGGGTCCAAGTCTGGACAAAGGGGCAAGTCCTCTCCTATAGTTTTGGGAGACAGAACCTGGGAGTCCAGTGCTTGCAAGAGCTGCCTTGTTTTCTCTTCCAGTGTCAGCAGCACCATCATGATTTCACAACCTGTGCCCAGTGCAAATGTGGCTGTGCTCACATCAAATGGCATCAACTTTCCCCAAACAGAGAATACAAGACCCACCCATAATAACCTGGACAACTTGAAGAAACGTCTAAAGGCAGAGGTCAAAGTCATTGGGGTAAAGCCAAGGAAGGACACATGGGAGTTGGGTGGTGGGTGGAGGAAAGAGACTGAGGGTCTTGGTACTAGAGATCCATTGTGAGTGTGGAGATTCACATCTTGCCGGAGGCATGACAGGCTGATCTGCAGACCAGTGCAAGTCACGTGGAGAGCTGTTTAAACCTTCCCCAGGACTTTTCTCACAAGATTAAATCTGTGTTTTTATTATTTGGAAAACCAGTAGTTGAATTTTGATTGCTTCAAAATTGTTTTTTGTATTTCTGAAGTGAAGTGTTTTTTTTATATTTCTTTTATGAAACCTATTATAAAGAATTACACATTTTATATTTTTTCACCAATTGCATGCTTAATAATCACACTGACTTTTTGACTTAAATTTTTTTTAATTGTTGATGGAACTTTATTTTATTTATTTCTATGTGGTCCTGAGAATCAAGCCCAGTGCTTCACACATGCTAGGCAAGCGCTGTTTGGTGATTTTTTTTTTTTTGCCTTTGTTCATTTATTTATTTATTTATTTATTTTTGCATTACAATTCTTAATACACCATTATACAATAATTTGTCATATCTCTGATTATATATAAGGTATGTTGACACCAAATTCATATCTTCATACATGTATTTTATATAATGATGAGAGTCTTTTTCTCTCACTGCAAATTACAATAAAAACACACTTCCTTTCTTTTCTCTCTCTCTCTCTCTCTCTCTTTTTTTTTTTTTTTTTTTTGTACTGGGGATTGAACTCAGGGGCACTTGACCACTGAGCCATATCCCCAACCCTATTGTGTATTTTATTTAAAGACAGGGTCTTACTGAGTTGCTTAGCACCTTGCTTTTGCTGAGGCTGGCTTTGAACTCATAATCCTCCTGTCTCAGCCTCCCGAGCAGCTTGGATTACAGGTTTGCATGACTGCGCCTGGCTTCTCTGTTTCTTTTAAGAACAGGGATGATATTTACATTTGCTCCTCTCTCTCCTCTCCTCCATGATTTATTAAAGAAACAGTGGGATGAAGGGATGTTGGGGAGGGAGCTATGCAGACCTGGGAGGAAACCAAGGAATCCATGTTTCTAGAGTTGTCTCTGCACTAGCATTATCTGAAGCAAGGTGCTGCTTCTGACCAGGTTTCAGACCCAGTGGGACCAATCGCCTAGCCTCAGAGATACATTCCTGTGGGTTCCCGTGAGAATCCTGTGACAGAAGGTTTGAAAAGCTTCCTGGTAAATGTCAATAGAACTGTGAGTCTCTGAGGTGAAGATGGACCTCAGGGAGGCAAACTACCTCTTAAAACATAGGTTCCGGAACCCCAGGATAGGACCCAAGACACCACAGAGCTGTCCAGAGATCCAGGCTGCATGGTGTGGCCATCTGGGGTCTGGAGATGTGAGATGGGGCTTCCACATTTTCAGCGCTCATGTGAGAGCAAGGATTTTTAGATGTCCCCTGTTCCCCCAAGAGGCAGAAGGAAAGTTACTAGCTATGGACTCCAACAGCTCAGCCCTTGCCATGAGCTGGGAGTAAAGGTCCTAAACAGACCAGGGCTTGGGAGGCAGAAGTGCCCTCAGGACAGTGGTCCCCTGATAGAACGGCACCCCTTCCCAAAAGAATTTTCGGATTTCTCACTCCAGAGCTTTTGCCGTGACAGCGTCCTCACTGGGATCTCGTAGAAGGTGAAGATGTGCGGGTAGCACAGGTGGAAGTGGATTTGTCTTCATCGAGGCTGGCTTAATCTTCGACCTTCTTTCCTTTTTCTACAGACGATCCAGATCATGTGTGGTGTGATGGTGTTGAGCCTGGGGATCATTTTGGCATCTGCTCCCTTCTCTCAACATTTTAGCTGGGTGTACTCCGCCCTGTTAAAATCTGGTTATCCATTCATAGGAGGCTTGCTTGTAAGTAGAGTTCCGCAGGAGGGCCGGTGGGGAGGGAGGGGTGAGGCCATACCCAGGGACCCTAACACCATACTCCTGTCCACTGGCCACCATTCTTCTGTCCATCACACTCAGTGGTTACAACCTATTCTCCTTGGTGTGTAGTCCAGGGAGAGCATCAGTATGCAGGAGGGCAGCAGTGGCTTTATTTGGGGTCAATTTCTTATCTGGTTTAGATAAACGTTTCTTTTAAAGGTCACCTTATTTTTCACCATAGTATCCTAAGCTATGTTGAGATTGGTGGCATCTTTCCAGGGTTAGGGGGGGAAAAATCATGAAGTATGATAGAGGTAGGAAACGGCTTTCCATATAGGACAGTGAGCTCCAATGAAAGAGGCCACCCTCTCCCAGGAAAAAACACTGAGAGGCTTGTGGGCATTAGAGAGGAAGGGACACTTCCAGCTCATTGCTTCCACGGGGTGGGGGTGGGGGTGGGGGTGGGGGAGGGGGACGGAGTGTGTAATCTAGGCAGAGGTCTATACTTTCCGGATGGGACTGGAAACTTCTCTGAAACAGCACCACATCTGCGGTGTTGGGAGGAATTAATGGTTCTTTTCTCAGAAGGTGACTTTCTTCTAGATTGATGTGGGTTTGCCCTTCTCACAGCGAAGGTTTTATTTCCAATAGTCTCTTCCCACAGCTCGGGATCTATCACTCGCCTCTCCTGCCTTCATTTCTTTTATGTATCCAAAACTCACTTTTTTTCTTTGTCAGGTCCTTTTTCTTCTTCTTCTTCTTTTATTAACTGAAAGCCACATTTTATTTGGATGTCACCAGTGTTTCCCAAGTGCCCTTCTTCCAAGGTCCATTCAAGGATATGACATTGCATTTGGTGAGTCTGTCTCCTTAGGTTCTTTGAGGCTTCCTCAGACTTTCCTTGCCCTTGATGAGTTTGATCTAGTTTTGAGAAGCCCCCCCCCCCCAGATAGGAATTTTGCACAATGTTCCTAAATTTGAATTTGTCTGATACTCTTCTCACATGTTTAGATTAGGGTAATGAACTTCTAGAAGGTGACAGAAGTGACATACCATTCCCATTAGGTCACATGAAGAATGCCCACTACCAGGGTTATGTGACCAGTGAAGTTAACCTTGATCATGGGGCGGAGGTAGTGTTTTCTGGATTCCTCCAATGCCTCATTCCTTCTTTCTCTTCTCTTTAGAAGCCTGTCGCTAACCACAGTCCATGTGTGAAGAAGCAGAGGCATCTAGTTCCTTTACGTTTTTTAAGTCTTGACATTTATCTACCTAGGCAAACTGCTTAATGCCGTGACCACTGGAACCCCAGAGGTTCTTTTAATTTGTTTCCCTCTCCCCGCCCCCACCATTTTAAAAAACGTCTTTCTGTTCGTCTCCTTAAATCTCTTACATCACAAAGACTCCAGAGAATGGAAATGATTTCTTCAATTTTTCTGAACAGTCTCCAAGGTTCCTGACATCTCGCCCCCTCCTTCGTTTGGTAGTCATTTATCAACAACATGTTAGAAAGGTGATTTGATGTGATCAAGTAGGATTTGTCCCAGGGATGGAAGCGTGGCTGAACACAGGTGAATCACTGGGATGGTGTTAGGAAAAGAAGGACAAAGACCATGTGATCATCCCCCATTCTTTGGGTTTTACCCATGGGAGTTGTTCATCAACACCGATGGTGATGTTGTAGCTTTTTTGTACCTAGAAACTGAAATGACATATTTTTCTTTCTTTCTGAGTAGTTTATCGTCTGTGGATCTCTATCAATCGTCACAGAGAAGATGTCAACAGAGGTTTTGGTGAGTGTGAAAACCATAATCCACCACTCAAGGATGTGAAATTTAGACCTCTACAGAATCAGTCTCTTTTCAACTTTGAAAAGTTGGAAACTAAGTTTCAGAGTCATCGAGCTGGTTCCAGATTCTCCCAATTCCTGTCAAAGGCTCATTCACCCAACCACGGTGCCCTCAATCAGTCTGCCTTCAGGGGAGTGTATCTTATCCTACACTAGTACCCAAGAATCTCACACACACACAAAAAAAAACTTCTGCTGATTTATAATGCTGTTTTATAGGTAAAAGGTGTTCAAATTTAGTTTTTCAGTGGTGAGGAAGCTGATAGCATTATAAAAAGGTGTTTTTTGTGTGTGTGGGGGTGGGTTCATCAATAATCCTATGTGTCAAAACCCTTGAGAAAACCCAGTCAAAAGGCTGCTGTTTGTGTCAGGAATTATCTCTCTTTCATCTATCTCACCTCAAAGTTGATACTTTTGTTGGGTTTGAGTATAAATTTGTGAGTCCGAGATGCTGTCTTTTGTATTGGCTAAGAAATCAACTTTACCTACCATTAACTCTTTCTGGGGAAAATCTGGACTGGAAGTTGCAGGAAGAAGAAAGCTGGATAATAGGGAGAAATATTTGAGATCTGTAAAGATTCACCTAGTCCTGGCTCAATCCCTCCAGGGGTTGGTGTGTGGCATCGTGTGAATGCCATATAATGCAATTGCTCAGAAACTCAATTTGGAAGCTCCGACTCTACAAGTGTCCCCAAAGCAGCAAGGAAATGAGAGAGAACATTCTCAGGACAATGCCAGTATATCCCTGCCATCAGATATTAGAGATTAATGTCTGAAACTCCCACCTGGACCCCGAGCCAGGAGATCAGTGCTGTCTAACAGATCTTTCTGTGATCATGGGAATCCGCTAGGTCTATGCTGTCGACCACGGTAGCCACAGGTGACTGTTGATAAGTTGACATGTGGCTAATGCAACTGTGCAGCTTAGTTTGAAATTTCATGTACTCTTACTTTAAATATAAGTAGGTCATGTGGCTAGTGACAATCATATTGAATAATAGTATAGGAGTAATGTCTCCAGACTTTCAAGAGGAAATGCATGGCACTCTTACCCTAAAGAACAAACCTGCAGTGAGGAGCAAGCAACTCAAGGACACAGGAGGTGGTCTTGGGGTGGTGTGAGCCTAATGCTTATAAGAAGCACTTAGCCTGTAGTGAATTTTAATCTTGTCACACATTCTATTAGCCCCTTTGAGGTTGAAGAAGGATGTTAGCCCAGGACAAATCTAGGTTATTCTTAAACATATATATTCTAGAGGCTGAGGCAGGAGGATTGCAATTTCAGGATATTCCTTGGCAATTGAGTGAAACCCTGTCTCAAAATTAAAAGGGTTGGGGTTCAACTCAGTGAGGGAGCATCCCTGAGTTTGATCCTTAGTATTACAAAAAAAAAAAAAATGAAATTGAAAAGAAGTGTACTCTAGACACCAGGACTGTGACAGTCAATCAGGAAGTCCAGGAGTATGCACTGCAGTTGTTATATTGGGAAATCGCCCCCCCCCCCTCCCAATATCAGTTGTGCGTGGTCTGTGTGATCTACATGTAAGAAGAGTGGGCTACATGGAATTCCATAACACTTAGTGCAAGGCTGTTGGCCTGCCCTGAAACTTCCCTACGTAGAGTCACAACTTTCAGAACGGTATTAGCTCAGTTCTCTTCTTCTGTGAGTTGGAGAATAAAGGAAGCCACTTCTGAGATCAGCTTTATTTATTCTTCTTACATCTTGAATGTAAAGGTGAGACCCAGTGTGGGGAGGGAAAAGGAGGACCTGAGGACTCAAGGACACGGACAGGTTGAGGCAAGCCTCTACTGTGACCTCAGTGTCCGACATCTAGTCCAGGCCTTCCTCTTCTACCTCACATGGGGCCTGTGTCTAGACCTCTGCCTGCAGCCATCCATAGGTGGCTCCGGCCTTGACCAATCACATGCCTGCCCAGGCTTCAAGGCCTGCCTGCGACTGAGAACCATATCGCACGGCTCAGGGTTGGCTGGGTGTGCTGTTGCAGGTGGTGTGCAAGGAGTAGTGAACTGCTCACCACCTCTCCTGTGTGGCTGATTCTTCCATGGTGGGTGGGGCAGGTTCTGAGTGTTATTAGTTCACTTGCTGTTACTAAAGCACACACCTGAGATAAATCATCATCAACAACAACAAAACAGAGGAATGGGATGTTTTGGTTCATGGTTTTGGAGGTTTCGGTGTGTGGCTGGGTGAATCCATTGCTTTGGGGTGTCAGGTAAGGCAGCACTTCATGGTGGCCAGCATGTGGTAGAGATAGCCATTCACCTCGTGGCAGCTGAGAAGGAAAGAGAGAGAGACAGGAAGGACCAGCATCCCAATATTCCCTTCAAGGGGCTTCATCTGATGACCTAAGACTCAGCCCCCACTAGTACCACCTTTTAAAGTTCCCACCCCCTTGCAACAGTGCCAAGTTGGAGACTAAGTTTTGCACGTGTCGGGCTTTGGGAGACACTGAACATGCAGACTGCACTTGAATCAGTTGAGGGATATGGAAACAATATCTGGAGCCCTAATACCTCTGTTTTTGGCCCTATAGTCTTAAGGCTTTTGTAGACAGTCTCATGGGGCCCTGCTGTCAGTGCAGGGCAAATCTTTTAGAGGGGACTATTTCCTGCCACAGCACCGAGGTCGTCTCTGGGGTTGGGGGAGATTTCCTTTACTCATTTAGTGAGCTACGATTTACCTTCCAGGTTCAGAGATGTTTTTCCCAGGCACTAGCGGGGACAAACGGAAATAAGTGATTAATATTAGACCTCCCAAGGGGGACAAATGAAATAAATGATTGCAGTACTCTGGCAAAAAGATGGAAGAAACATCTGTTGCTTGCAAGTGTGATCTTTACTCAGCCTTTCTCTTTCAGGTTAATAGCAGCCTGATCACAAACATTCTGAGTGCTCTGTGTGCCCTGGTGGGTTTCTTTATCATCGCTGTCAATCTAGCTGCTTTGGGTCCTGCCTCAGAGGAGTGCGTGTTGAAGCAACAAGCTAAGCCAACCACTTTTTTGGGGTATTACTATCCCCATAATGGAGAGAACTACAGGGGCTGCTACCCAGCCAAAGCCAGTCTAGCTGTAAGTATCTCTAAATTGGGTGCTCTAATACTATGAGTTTTTAAAAAGCCCTTCTTTCTTTTTTTGAAAAACTCTGTATTCTCTCTGGTTTGGGGGAAACGAGGGATGGTCAAGACTAGGTGAAGGAGGGGAACTGCAAAGAATGAGATTAAAAGGTTAGACTAGGGGTTACATGCTAATAGGGAGGAATTGAAGTGTACGTGTCCCATAAGGTTGGTGATGAAAAACTAGACTTTATCACCGGTAGAGATTCTTACTAATCAAACAAATCAACTTTTGAGGTGCAAAGTATGAATTTGTCTAGCCAAGAACTTGGTACCTGGGAGAGGTGACTTACGAAAGGCAAACAGAAGAGAGAATAGGTAACCAGGACATGCCAGAGAGGAGACCTGGCCTGAGTGTACGGCAAGGGTTAAAATGGTCTGATGGATACCAGGCTCAGCACCGAAAAATAGAATAAGAAGAAAGGGGTCTGAAGAGCAGGGCTTTTCCTCTTTTCCAAGATCATAGTGATGAGAGACACTGATTCTGTAGGTTGGCAAATCATTGCCGTTCTTGTTACGACTTAGATTGGATTTATTAAACTGGGAGATAAGAAATCTTAGGAGATGAGGATGGTTAACTGATAATAATTCTAAGGGAACTCTGTCTTATTGAGTGAACTAAAGCAATTAAGTTTGACTAACAAAAATATTGTGTCTTAAGTGGGACAGCAACATCCTGAGAAAAAAGTAGGCAACATGACAAAAAAAGAGAGGCCGCGGAATGTTCATTGTGCTGAGATGATAGAGGTCAAAGACACAGGGGGAGGACGGACAGATAGGAAGATCTGGTGGAACTATGTCTGCACCTTGCTCCTTGAGGAGCGGACTGCAGGTGCTTCTCTCCTGGTTAGTGACATTACAGTGAGAAAAAAAAGTACATGCAATTGAAATGGATAGAAATTGGCATAAATTAACAGCAGCACAGCTAAGCTAATCTTGGGGGAAATTCTGGAGTGCTTAGGAGGAAATTGAGTAGTGGATAAAGTATAAATTCATGATGGGATAATTTTACATTGTAAGTAAGAGAGACTGAGTCGAGCTTGTTGGCTAGGACAGTGTCAAGTAAGGCACGTCTCTTTCTCCTTATGCGTAATTGAGCTAGAGGACACCCCATCACATTCTCTCCCTCACTATCAAGTGACCTGCCTGAAGGATACCTTGCCCCTGGACCACCTTTTGGAGATGGCTTGTGTTAATTTTCTGCCTTGATGGTTATTTTCTAATTCTTCTAATCACCAAAAAAGACTAAGGGAAAACATCCACATTTTTCAGGTATTTGGAAGGGTTAGTCAGTACTACATTTTACAAAGAACTTGCACAGTTCAAAACCTCATTGATCCTAACAAACCTCTGAGAAAGAAATTGTGCACACTTGATAAAGAAGGAAACAGAGGCTAGAGAAGCAGAGAGAATGGTCTAGGCTCATACCAAGCAGTACAGGCGAGGCTGGAGTGGGAGCTGTAGGTTCTCAGGCCCGGGAGCAGTTTTGCCACTCTGCTCTCTCAATGAGTGAACAGTGCAATTAACCTGTGTCCCCGCAGGTAAGAATCCAGGTGTACAGGTGGGGCCAACTCCGCATCTCCCCTCTTCATCTAGAGGGAGTTCATGAACAGAGAGATTGAATTAGGTGGTCCTCATCTCTACAGTCACCTCCCACCCGGGCATGAAGGCTGCGGTGGACGCAGGCACCATCTCTCTCTTATCTGCTGGGTTTCAGGGAGTCCTGTCTGTGATGCTGATTGGCACCGTGTTGGAGGCCTGCCTGGCTGTGCTCATTTCTGTGCTGTGGTGGCTGCAGGCCCACTCTGATGTCCCTGGGGTGAGTTGCTGGCGGCCTCCTGTCATCGTGCCTGGGGTTTTTCTGGGAAGTGTTGAGCAATGTTTCCAAGAGTCACAGAAGGAGGAAGCCGGCAGGCACAAGAGGCACGTGCGGCACGGTTTTGCTGGTAATGAGGAAAGCAGATGACCAGGACTGGCTGGCAGCTGAGGCTTCCCCGCTCTGGAGAGTCCACCCTGAAAAGTCCCAGGGCCTAGTCCTCCTGGTTTGCAAACAGAACAACCACACCAAGGCTCTGTGAAGCTGAACGCCTGTCCTGGTGCAATGCTCCGTTGGTGGCTGTGCTCAGGACACTAGGACCTGGCTGCCGCCCTTGCTAGCAGGAACTCTTCCCGCCGTAATGACTGGTCTTTATAACAGTCTTTTTTTAAAATTTTTTTTATTGGTTCTTCAAAACATTACATAGCTCATGACATATCATCTTTCATATATTTGATTCAAGTGGGTTATGAACTCCCATTTTTACCCCAAATACAGATTGCAGAAACACATCCGTTACACATCCACATTTTTACATAATGCCATATTAGTGACTGTTGTATTCTGCTACCTTTCCTATCCCCTACTATCCCCCCTCCCCTTCCCTCCCATCTTCCCTCTCTACCCCATCTGTTGTTATTCAATTCTCTCCCTTGTTTTTTTTTTCCCTTTCCCCCTTTCCCCTCACAAACTCTTATATGTAATTTTGTGTAACAATGAGGGTCTCCTTCCATTTCCATACAGTTTCCCTTCTCTCTCCCTTTCCCTCCCACCACTCGTCTCTGTTTAATGTTAGTCTTTTCCTCATGCTCTTCCTCCCTGCCCTGTTCTTAGTTGCTCTCCTTATATCAAAGAAGACATTTGCCATTTGTTTTTTAGGGATTGGCTAGCTTCACTTAGCATAATCTGCTCTAATGCCATCCATTTCCCTGCAAATTCCATGATTTTGTCGTTTTTTAGTGCTGCGTAATACTCCATTGTGTATAAATGCCACATTTTTTTTATCCATTCATCTATTGAAGGGCATCTAGGTTGATTCCAGAGTCTAGCTATTATGAATTGTGCTGCTATCAGTCTTGACTTGGGAAAAGGCACTTAGAACTGGGTCTGTCTCTAATTGCCCTCCTTTTCCTTCTCATCATCTTAATGTTATTTCTCCTTCAAAAGATCTTAAAGAAATACTGTTAAATCAAATTGCATGGGACAGTATTCTGCCACCGTACAAATTCACAGCTTCATTTAACTGAATTTTTTAAAAAATAATTTATCCAAAGTTAATTGTTTTAATTATTTTGCTTATAAATAGTAGAATGCTTGATGGGTGAATAGCAATTATTTGGAGGACTTAATGATGTACTATATTCATTCTGGAATGGCAAAAGTTCTATGTAAAAGTTTCAAGGGAATGCTATCTATCTGTACACACATATAGACTTATATACATGTATATGTACATGTATAATATATATGTATATATGTTCATGTTCATATTCTCATATATACATAGTTATATGTATATGTTCAGTTGAACCTGTGTGAAGACTGAAACCTAACATATCCTCTTTCTTCTAGGGTGTGTTATTCCTGCCTCATAGTAACAGGAATAAATTCAACATGGCCCCAAAGGAGCTTTGTAACCCTGCATATGAGGAAATGATGACTTCTTAAAGAACAAAGAAGAGGAAAATATTCAGCAGAAATTGGTCTTCATGATAATAAATAATAATAGTAATAAACCCATCATAGAACAGAAAAGTTTTGGTTCCCTAAAATGTAGACTTTTTATGCAATGAGTATTACAAAACTTGTTGAATGTATGTGTCCCCTGATGCACTCTTGATTTGCCGGACATCGTCGGCTTCAGCAAAAGCACAGGTCTGGAAAACCGCTTAATAGACTGGCCCAAAAGTCCCAGACATGTCCCAGAAAACTAGGTACAATGTTTCAGTGGATCTTAGTGAAGCTGAGGAGACAACTTTTTCCTGCACCCCTTAACAGGAGTTATCTGATTGGTTGTAGATTTGGTCTCTCTTAGAGGTGGCATTAATTGTTCACCTCATGTATTTCACTTGTTAGTGCCTGGAGACAAGTTCATGTGATGGCAGAGACTGTAAAAGTAGTTGGCTTCAAAATAAAGTCTTTGTGTGACTGCACATTTTATTTCAAAAGTCATTGTGTTATTTTTCCTTCAAGGGCCGAGTTAACAATGATCTATACAAACCTAAATGTGAAGCCTCTTTCCCTTTCATCAAATATTCAAACAAATGAAGCACGGGAGTCTAACCGGGAATATTTATCTGTTATTAAGTGACAAACAACTTATATTTTTTTCTAATAAAAAGAAACAATTGTTAAATTGTACATATTAGGCCTCTGCACTGGCAAATAAGCATAAACATGCATGTGCACATACACGCACGTGCTCACGCACACACACCCACCCACACACTTTTATTACTTTACCTATTGCAATTTCTATCTCTAAAGTTAGAGGATAAATGATAAATACTTACATTAGGTTGAATTTGAGTGAACATTCTATGTTTAGCAACACTATTTTGGGATCCAGAAGGTATGTCTGATTCCAAGATTACCAAGGTGAATAATATTCCGTTCTTAGCTTCAAGAAATGTAGAGTTAAATAAGGAGAGTGGAGGTAACAATAAAAATAGGATTATATTGTACAGGTGTTAAATTATATTTATTACATTTGAGCACAGAATGAAGAATACCTTCTTCTGCCTACAAGAATGTAGAAGATAAAAGGGAGAGAGGAGATAAATAATGTGTGTGTGTGTGTGTGTGTGTGTGTGTGTGTGAGAGAGAGAGAGAGAGAGAGAAACCTTCCTTGAGAACTTCTCACCCCTCCCACCCACCCCACCCAGGATCTCAATCATATGGTGCCACCTTCCTGCCTCAGAATCACCTAGAATGCACAGTTGATGTATCCATCTACTGTATTGTCACTCTAGCTTCACACCTCACTGCTGGGCATCAATTTTTTCAAATCAGGGGAGAGGAGACATCTCTCCAAGCTCTACAGAATTAAAAGAAATTAAAATAAAAAGATTATTAGGGAATAAAATGAACAACTTTATGCCAACGATTTTCACAATTTGATGACATGGGTGGGTGGGTGGGGGCAGTAGAAATAATAGGAAGACATAAATTAACAAGAGTTACCCAAAAGGATTTAGAAAGCAAAACGAGAATTTAAAAATATGAATGATTCTGTAACAAGTGAAAAATGGAAATAGTATTAAACAACCTTCCCTTCAAGTAAAGCTCTTATCCAAATAGCTTCACAGGTGAATTAAATTAAATATTTAAAGAAAAACACTAACCCTTTGTAAACTTATTCACAACAGAGAGGAAATGGGAACACTCCCAACTTGTTCCATGAGGTTAGTATCCTGGTGTCAAACTTAAACAAAAATATCAGAAGGAAAGAAAGCAAAGGTGAAATATGCTTCCTCACTGGCCTGCTATATAATTCTGAAGTCACTACAGTCATATGAGATGACATTCTGGTGTTGCCTCTTTTATTATAGTGTCAACCATAACTTGGGCGAGGGACATGCTGTTTGGAATCATGCAATTGTCTTCACATAGCCCATCTGATAGCCTATCATTTACAGCTTTCCTATGACTCTAGTAGGCTGTGAATATTTATATCACAAGGAGGTAAATCAGAAAACTCGCTATTTTCTGAGCATGTATGATTCACCTTTCCTTTAATCCATTCTCATAAATCCTCAGGATCCCTTACAACATTTTAACTCCAATAGACCATTTTAGTTGCCCAGGTTGCTTTGGTTGGAGCTCCACCTGCTGGCCAGAAGAAGAAAAGCTTACTTCTGCTTTTGCTGAGCCAAACACTAGAAATAAATTTTAGTGGATTTGCTGTATTTGTTTGTTTTATAGTTCTCTTCCCATACATTTTGCTATATCCTGAGACTGCTTTGATTATGTTCATGTTATTCTGGGATGTTTTTCTATCAGTAACTGATTCCAAAGCTTTGCTTCTTTAAGCCAAAGGCACGCAGTTATTACCCTCTATTAGCAGTTTGTTTCCACTTTATTTATCAGAATCACCTTTTTTTTTTTTTTAACTTATAGGCAATTCTTAGCAATACTTTTAGCTAAAATTGCTTCTGTGTATTTGATGTAATGTCTCTTCTGATACATTTACCTCTAACAGTGGTTGATAGGCTTCAGTTTCTAAAGAAGACTCCCAGGACCATTAGGACAGTGTTTACAAATCCATGGGATATCATGGGAATAGGAGGCAGCGTGCCAACAGCATTGGAATTAAGATTTGCATCCGGGTTAAACACTGCCTTGCAGCAAGAGGCACGGAGCCCGGGCTTGAGCTCCAAGGGCCCTCACTTTGTCTCTGTGATGCATGTTCTGTTTTTGGTAAGAAGTCCTAATAGAACGCCTCAGAACCAGGAATCCCCCAGACACTGTACTAGTTAGGGCTTCTTATACCTGATTTGGGCATATGTATTGGCATATAATGGGTCCTGATAGCAGATCATTCTGTGCATCTCATTAAAGATCACATGCAAATCCCTAGTCTCATTGTTCTCAGCGGTGATCACAGGCTGGCACAAACCTTTGAGCAACTCCACACACCCCTTGCTCCAAAGCAGCACCGTTCATCAGTACGCTCATGCAGTGACTGAGGGTCAGTGCCTTGGGGGAACTACAGCACAATAGCTTAGGACAATTTTAAGTCTGCTGAAATTTACCCTAATGACACAAGCTACATATATCAATAGAACAAAATCAAACAGATTGTGGTCAAATCATCTTTGCATCTGATTTCTGATATTTACCATTACAATTTTGAATTTTTTCTGTGTTGCTGCATCTATCAGTAGTTTTTTATTGTTTAGTAGTATTTTATAATATGAGCATTTTATAGTCTTTATCCTTTACCTGTTGATGGACATTTGAGCTGTTTTTTTTTTTTTTGCTATTATGAGTAAAGTCACTATGAATATTAATGTGTAATCTTTTTGTTAATATACTGTATGTTCTTGTTTGTTGAATTATTACATGGAACAAGATGACATCACAAGATAAACATTTATTTAATATCTCAATAAATTATCAAACTATTTTTTCAGTGATTCTCATTTTGCATTACTACCAAACATGTAAGACAGTTCTATTTGTTCAACATCCTTACTAATCTTTGCTATTTTTAATTTTAGTCAGTCCAGTGCATGTGAATGGCACTTATTTTAATTTGCTTTTCTTTTATAAATAATGACATTGAGCATCTTCTCATATGGTTATTGGCCATTTGCATATATTCTGACTCTTTAAACAATGTTTGATTGTGTTTATGTGGCATATTTAAGTACGGATTCTCCCTCTCTCTCCTTACCTTTTGCAAGGTCCTTTTTATCTCTTTGTCTGTCTCCTATCAAAACATGCTTAGGGCTTATTGTTTCTTGAATGTAAGGATTTATTTCTATCATAATTTCTAAAAATACTTAACCATGTATTTTAAAGTATTTTTTAAAATTCTGTAACCTCTCTGTTCTCTTTCAGGTACTACAATTTAATGTGTGTTAGATGCTTTTATCTCTCTTTCACAATTGAAAATATTTTGTTGCTGGATGGTGTTTCTACATAAAATATTAAATTTTCAGCCACATTAGACTTCCATGAGTGAAGCCTAGAGATGAAATTTCTAAGTATTGAAAAATAACAGAAAAATGCAATCACATCTTTTTTTGTTAAAATAAAAAAATACAATATTAGGGGTTTTGCACACAGTTGCAGAATTTTTTGACTATATTTTGTGTATTTTTTCTAAAACATATACATTTATCTTTTCAAATTTTTCTCTAATGAGAATGTGTTGTTATACCCAGAAATAATACCATACATTCATTGAGCGATATGTCCAAGAAAGAGAAAATGGATCTGGGACGTTAGTCAAATATTGGCCTATGGAGTTTTAGTAGTGACAATTACACCAAATTTAGGAGCTGGTCTGCGTCCTTTCCATGATTATCTAAGAGACCATGTATGAAATGTTGAAATATATATCCTTTCAATGGATAAAGTTGAGTCACATGACATTTGTGCGTATGTGTGGGTGTGTGTGTGCATGTGTGTGTGAAATCACAGCATGTTCATAATCAGTGTTTCTTCAATACATGTGAAGAAATAATTAAAATAAAAGTAAATACCTCTAGAATGTGAAGAGAGCTCTTAGTAGGTTTGCCATTCAGAATTCCCATGACTCATATTTAGTTCTGTAGGATTCTCTTTATGGGTGATCACTAGAAGAAGGTTTGTGTTGGATTCAGTACCCTGTCTTAATGGAATGTGCATATCTTGGCTAGGAAATGTATCCTTTCCCCAAATTTCCTCTGAAATTTGCCCCTGGGAGATCAGGACGAGAGCATTTTGCTACAACAGAGTGTGGAAACACCTCAGCCCTGGACTTACCTTCTCTTTGCTAGATCACGTGGTCTTCCAAACAAGGTGGCCAATGTGTGACTTTCATTTCACCCTCACTCCCTGGGCTCACTCAGGGTGTGAACCGCCATGGGGTCTGCTGATGCACGGCTGTTTACTGGGAAGGGGAGGAGGCATTTGAAACACTTCCCAGAATCATGAGTAATCACCAACTTCAATCTCTGCTTAGGTAGAGAATGGCCTAGAATAAAATATTAGCGGTCAGATGGGAGAAGGGGTGAGAGAACACTGATCTTGTGATATAGTCACCAATCTATTTTCTAAAGATTCTTTTGTCACATAACTTCCATAGTGGGGTATGTGCTATTCATTCTCATATGTCTTTTTAAGTTAACTGATCTAAAATATATTGAACATGGACTGTGCTTATTTCGTTGTAAGATAAGGAAACAATGGCATTGCAAATATCCCCAAGAACTATAGGTCATATTAAATAAATAAACGTTTCAATGGAAAAATTGTAATAGTTGAGTCAAAAGATTAAAAAAAAAAAAAGCACAGGAATGGAAGTGTAATCTTGATACTAATTCAGTACCTAAAAACATTTCACACAATCCCTATTAATCATACACACAGAGACATTCATTTGCTCATGTATATATACACAGGTGCGTGGTGTGTGTATGTGTGTGTGTGTGTGTGTGTAGTCTCCCAAA